CAGCATCTTCTCCCACCAACTACTGTAACTACTGTAATTACTCCATCCTTGCTTTGTCCATCTCTATGCTCTTTCTTTTCCGCTCAATAGCAAGAATACAATAATGTCAGACTCGTCCTATATGAACATCATTCAATGGGGTCAGGCCGGATCTCTTGTAGCAATGACCCAACGACGTACTGTACAGTACAAAGATAACAGGCCAACCACGAAAGGCCGGCGACCGTGGGGCGAATGGAGATTATTGATTGCTGAACACCGGCCATACACCACACCAGGTATATACAACAAAGAACCATAAAAAGTTGGTCGTATGACAGACAATAAAGGCACAGTTCATAAGAAGGCTACAATCACCAAACCGTCATTTTTTTCGAGGGGGGATAAGTGGGTGGTGGTCACCCCGTACCGTACTGTACTGTTCTGTATGATCACTAATTGCCTGAGCGGTCATGGTACAGCACAGTAAAAACCGATATCTTATCTCTGGCATAGCTCTCTGATACTGACGTTTTGCATTTATTTCCCCTTCAACTTTATCTGAGATAGTGATAAATTAAACAACGCACTGGCTTTTATCATAGTAACATAAGTGGCTCTCTTCCGGTCTATATACCACTTTTTTCCATGGCTGAATGATTGAAAAGTGTGCGCACGTGCATGCTCAGCACATGCATGGACGCCCGCTTAATTTAGTCGACAGATCGACCCTCGTGCGTCTCTTTGCGTGGTCAGGGAGATACATACAACGATATGAGGTTGACCGTTGCGGACCATCATGATCAGAATCCCATCGAGAACCAGGCTAGAGTCTTCGAAGGACATGAGCTGAATTCTCACTATCAAACAGAAATCATATACCCACAATGCCTGACATGTATAATTGCCTATCGTCGACACCAAATGATCGCAGTATTCAATCTAACTCCGCTCGCTTGCTTCGAGATAAGCCGAAAACAAAATGCAATCCTCATGCCCAGACCAGTTTCTTAATGTCATACACCAGATGTTCCAGGTATCCAGTGCGTTTCTTCGCTTCCTCCAACGAGATAATGTCCGAGGAATCAATCAGGGATCGCTGTTTGCCATCTTCAGGAGGGCCGTGCCGGTCGCTTGCCGTCACGGCCCGCTCGATTTCCTCGCAGATGCTTCGAACCCAGTCCGAAGGGCTGACACTGCTAGTCCCAATGACCTGTGGAAGGGCTTTGAATGCAACCAGGCGGGTGGCCGGGTGCGGGGCGCCTTTGAACCACGAGTACATGCTCCACTCACTGCTCGGGCGCGCACTACGGTCGAGACTCGTGGAAGGCACCTGGCTCTGGAGAGACCGTGTATTGACCCTCAATGCGTTCTTGTCGCCTTCGCGATAGTCCACCACCAACCCGACATTGCTGCGCTCATCAGTCTGAGCCTCCGTCAAGATAGAGGTTACATAGGTTCCATAATTGATTCTGGTCACTGAGCACAAATCAATCCGCTCGTAGGACAACACTTTGTCCGTGTTCCAGTCGAATCGGCAGCTATACAGAGCAACGTCCGTGAGAAGAAGGACGGCCTCTTCAAATGGCATGGTCCGGAGCGTGTTCGGCTGTCGGGGAGTTAGCAGTGTCCAGCCTCCGAGAAATTCCTCGGATTGATCGCTGATGACGATCTTGCAACTGGTGTCAATGGCATTCTGCCGAAGCTTCTGCACGGAGATGCCTGGGTCGGTTGTCTGCATCTCAAGTGCAAACTCCTGGAAGACATCAGTCGTGACGTTACCCAGCAGGTAATCGATACAGGCCTGTGAAAAGTAATCGTTCACAATGTTGTTGTAGTAACGAGACAGGGTCAGCCCGAAGTCGTTCAACGCTCCTCGATAATTCCGCTTTCGAGTGCGGGTGTAGTCTCCTTTCAAGGCAGCAGTGGAGGAGTACTGCTTAGAAATCGCATCGCCATTGTCCGCCCAGAGGGTATTGAACCAGTGTGTCGAGGAATCACGTCTTAAGTCGAGGTCTATCCCTTCCTGCTTTAACTCTCGCTCTAAAGCCCACTGGCCAAAAGCACACTGCGCAACACCCGTGCGATCGAGACAGTCCATGCAATTAGTGCGCGTGATCCCAGATTGGCGCCGGAGAACGGTACCGTTTTGCACCATCGTGTCGCCAAATTCGCTCAAAGTTGATTCCAGCCGGTCGACCAGTCGGCTTACTTTTTCAAACTTCATCCCTCGGCATTCATTATGGAAGTCAAACCACTCCATCTTGAGTGGCGCACCATCAATACCGCCTGATTCATTCAAGGACCGAGCAAATTTCTCGTATTGCTCCCCGAGCTTCAATTCACCAGCTTGTTTATCTATGAGGGATACTGCTTGAACGTTGCCGTATCTCCGACTCAGATTTCGGAAATGCCTGTCAAAGGCGAGCTGGTTCGTCTCTGTGGAATGATGCAGCACGGGGACTGGCTTGAATGCATACGGGGTCTGAGAGAAGTATAGCGGGATCGAGCCTCGCACTTGTAGGAACGAGTAGACACTACGTGTCGGATTCCAGTCAGACGTCGAGAGAATCTGTTCTGTTTCAACAAAGTTGGCGGTATTACCATTGTCATCCACGCCACGGCGGAGATATCGCAAGCCTGGTCGCTTCACCGACCGTCGAGAAATTAGAGTGACGAGAAAATCGCGCTTCTCCTCATCGGTCTTGACAGTATCTGCCTCCTGCTTATCGCCCAGAATCCGGCCAGTGACCTGTTGCTCGTCTGATTTACCTGATTCTGATGATGAAGGCTTCGGAGTTGCCCCGACCGTGAATTCTCGTTGACCTACGAACCCTTGCATCAATGGCAGAGCGAAGCCGTGAGCATCGGCTGTGATGAAGGGCGCAAGCAGATTTCTATTCCAGAAAAACTGGACATGGTAGGTTAGCCACTGAAAGCGCCCCATAGCTTGAAAGACCGCGTACTCACCATATCATCGACCAATCTGTGAAGTGGGAGGTGGGTGGTCAGCGAGGGCTCCTGCACACTAAGGTTCCTGGTAAGGTCGTAATCGTAGGCGAAGAAAAAATTGCGCGATGAGAAAATCATCTCCGTGTAACGCAGCAGCTTGGGCAGCAACTCGACCGTAGGATCTGAACCGAACGGCTCTGCGAGACTCTTTGACGAAGCATCATCACCTCGAGGCACTGGGGTTGCCTCACCGTCCTCGTTCACCTTGGCGATTGTAGGGGAAGACTCTGCCGTGCTTTCCCTGACATCTCCCATGGGCGCTTCGGTTGATTCCTGGTTAACTGTGCCGAGTCCGGGCAGGCCCAGTGTCTTCCTGGAGAGCCAGTTCGCCGCGAACCGTCCGAAGCGAACCTTCTTTCCGATCACATCTTCAGCGATGCTGCCAACGCTGCGTGTCCGGGAGTAAGAGACCTCCTGTTCCGGAGAAGCCGGCGCAGTGCCGACTTCAGTATCGCCTCCCTCAGTCTCTGTATCAGATATCGTGGCTGAATCCTCGGAACCAGTCTCGGTGTGACTGTCCTCGCCCTGCAGCAGACTCTCCTTGGCCCGCGAGATTGCACGACTCGCGTCCGCCTGAGATGACGTTGGGATTACGGCGACATTGGTAATGGTATAGATCGGCTTGCCCTGGATCTGAGCCACTTGCTGGCGTTGAGTGATAGAGATGAGGAATGAATACGATGCAACGGATAGAAGCCCTTGGGTCGCAGAACACAGCCATCAGTGAATGATCCCTATTCATGGGCCAGGATATCAACTAGAACACGAGGAGGGAAGAGGAGCATGCGCGCGCAAAATACACATGATAAGATGAAACAGAATGATCCACAGTCCATTCTAGAGTCTTGGCTAAATCGCGATATTCAACACATACCGACAAGACCGTGAATCTCTAAACCGGAGTCCCTCGTATCGTCACGTCCCGAGGCGGAGCCAGGAAGTAATGTGATTTGGTTAGTCTTATAATCGATGCGAATAGCAGACGGCTCGATATTTCCAGTATGCCGCAAGCCATTGCCTGTGGGGTGAAGGACAAGTCCATCAGCGGTCGCGACCACGATCAGCTTCCGAAGCAATCCAGGCATATCGCCCACTTTTTTTTCTCTCTCTCTTCTGCAAGTCTCGCAAGGAGGAACTTGGGGAATGAAGAATCACGATGAAACAACAAAGAGTGTCAGAAGTAGAAATGCAGCTTCACAATCTATACACAGCGCACCCACCACATGGCCAGTAAAAGCTTTCCTGGTTGGAGGTGCTGGAGCGTGGTGGTGGGATGTCTGTCTGTACCCAATATGGAGCTTAATCCCACCGCGCGACATCATCGATGGTCTTTTCCCCACCACCAGCCACTCCCGCTGGAAGGAAAAAAACAACCCCTACGTCACACTTTCTAGTCGGCAAAACGAGGGGATAGTGGTAGCCATACTCATACTCCTCCTGACTAGGCGTCAACAACAAATACAAAAAAAAAAAAACGATCGAGATCAAGAAGCATAAAATTTGATAAGGAATTTTCTGCTGCAAATAATAATTCTCCGCAATCCACATGGTCTATTGAAGAAAATCACCCGTGATCTTAGGCTCTATATACAATTCCGGGTCTGTGTAATTGCAGGTATTCGCGCCTGCGGTTCATACCATGGCAGTTGATGAAAACAACAAAAACAGATAACAGTCCCATTCCACATACAAGTCATTCGGAGCATCTATTGCTCCTCATCTTCGCATCTTCTTCGCGTCGTCTTTGCGTCGGGAATCAGGTAAAAGTACAAAGCATCCAAAAACAGCCGCGACCATTCAGGAGCAAGGGTAGGTGGAGAAGGTGCGCCCGGGGCGGGAGGGAGGTAATAGCAAACCGAGGGGAATAACGTGAGAAGAAGATAAAAGCGTAAATGAAATAGTCTTGGTCATAAATAGGAGGCAGAAAGCAAGGAGGAGAATCTTAACAGGATGAGAGCCAAAGAGAAAAGGAGGAAGGGGAAATGATCAAGTGTAAGCATCGTATCATACTATGGCGTGTCATGCTTATTGGGTCGCTGTGAGGTACGACTGAGCTCCTCGCTTCGTGCATAGGTAGGACCTGGCTCTCCGTCGCTCCCTTCATTCATTTCTGATAACCCAAAGGCCTGGTTCTCGACGTCATACGCGCGGATCAGCCCTTCGCGGTCTCCATTCCCATTCATATATGCAAAGCTCGAAGAACTCCGGCGATGTGGCTCGTTACTGCGTCGAGATTGCATAGACCGTCGCGTTTGAAAGCCAGCAATTCCATCTGTGGGAACGCCTTCATCGTCAAGCTTGTAATTAAGCATTTGTCGCCCATCTGGATCATGTCGAGAGAGGTTCAGAAGGTAAACGCCGGCAAATATTGTCAGGAAACCGCAGAGCAAAGAAATTGTGTTCACAGCATCGCTGGTGTTGAAACCTTTGAAGAGAATAAATGAAGCGCATAGCGTGGCAGTTGTAAACGTGACATAGTATAGCGGATTAACACTATAAATCCTCATTGTTAGCGCATGCCCTAAGAGCTATAACCGTCGTAAGCGTCACTTACATCGATGTGGAGAACTGATTAAGTGCTTTGTTGAAATAATTCATCTGGGTCAAGATACAGAAGCCGGTGACAATCATGAACACATATGTTGATGCTTGAGTGAATTGGTTGTTTCCCCCTAAGGTCAGCTTCACCGCGATGCCGAATGCCTTGACAGACATGACTGAAACCGAGCCGACGGTGGAACAGATCGAGATGTAAATCAATGGATTCTTCTTGCCGTAGACGGGCGCAACTCGATAGATCATAACGGTGGAGTAAATCGCGACAGCGAGGCAGTAAACGAGAAATCCTGTGAGCGAGACCCTGCGTCAGCCAGAACTAGCTAGATTGAGCTTATATTGACACATACCTGGTTGCAGCGCATAGCTCAAAATCTCATCGATTCTTTCCACCGGTTTGTCTGGGGGCGCATGGAGAACAATGACCACTGAGCCAAGCAGGCACATGGCACATCCCAGTTTGCCCAGAACGCCCAGTCTTTCCTTCAGGAAATAGGAACCAAGGACGGCACTGCATAATGTTAGTCTCAAAAATATAAAACCCACGATTCAAGACATCAAGCCGTACCCGATGAGGACACTCAGCGCACCCAAAGGCGTAACCAGGATGGCAGGCGCGAAAGCATAAGCCGCAAAGTTGGCAATTTCTCCCATGGCCACTGTCAACTTCAGTCAGCTCTTCTCTTCGCAAGACTAGCCTTATTATGACAGTATCGCTCACAGGTAATGACCCCACCCCACCAGATGGGACTTTTCAAATACGAGAAGCCTTCTCCCTCAAACCCATGTCTTTCCGAAGCTTGCATTAGACCCTATGGCGACGATCAATTAGCCAGTTGTCCTGGACAAAACCGTAGACGACGCGCGGACGGAAGTGTGATTGCTGGTGGACAACTTCATGGTGGTAGGACGAACCTTCTTCGTGATGACAAAACTCGTACCTGGGCGTTTGTTAGTCTCAGCCGCATGAATCGCATGGGTGACCGCTCGTACCGATTGCCATTGTTGACAGAATGGCCAGGATAAGGCCAACATATCTGCATATCACCACCCGATCAGAAGACTGTCTCAGACAGTGGCCACCAGGCCTTCAGTAACGTGAGTAGAGCATACTTATCGGAGATCATATTGACAATAGCCGAGGAGCTGGTTGCTCCCTCGAGATGTGAAAGCCAATGCTTGTTCCTATTATTTTGGGGTTGTCGGCGGATGTATGATGCCGAGTCGAAAATGAATGGAGGAGTGAATGCACAATGGGGGAGGCTGAAGTGGATGCTGGGTCGGGCTCGGTGGACGGCTACCTCAGCCAAGCATTCGGAGTGCGCCAACAATGACCGACAAGAGTTAAGAAGCACAACAAGAGCGCAAAGAATGGAAGTCAAAATGAAGGAGAAAGAAACCACAACCAGTGACAGAAAGGAGTGAGTAAGCTAAACCACAGTAAGATGCAGCAGCCTTGGGGATGCGACCGATGGCTCTTTTTGGGGTCGAGAACTCCTGCGATCGGTCGGAGAAGAGAGCTGGTTGTTTGGTGATCCTAGAGGCTGGCTGCCTGCGCTCGTGCGGTGGGGTTTTTCCCCTTCAAACGGATCCGGCCCGGATCTGGACGCGCGTTACTAGTGAGTACGTAGGTGCAAGCGAGTGACTGGCGACAACGAGTCCCCCAATCTAATTTTCCACAGAAATCTACTTCGTAGGCACGAAGTACTGTAGGCACTAGAATGGTAGTATTGGTAGTACCTGGTACCTGGGAGTTGTAGTGGGATGGTAGAAAGGGAGGCTCAAAAAAGGTGTTTGAGAGAATTGATGTTGGTGGTTTGAAGATCGGAGATGCAGCCGTGTCCTCGGTTGCCAGAAGAGCATTTAATTAGATAGTACCTACCTAGTACCTAGTTATTATGAGCGAGTAGGTGGTAGTATTGTTACAGTAGGTACGGGGTACTACGGAGTACTTCTATTGGTGGTGGTGACGCCTTTCCTAACCAAAGATAGACCTTACATAAGCCGTCCCCCCAATGAAGTAACTAAACCTTACTGCGAAGAGCTAAAAGACATATCAATGTGATGCTAGAAAATGAACAAATAATTGTAGTAATAGGCTATGTTGGGTATGTCTTGTACTGTACAGATATAGTACTGTATATAATGTGCTAATGCAGGAGTATAGATACACATATATACCATGCTCATGGAACAAGATGCTCGCAGAAATCGAATACTACTAGATAGGCAGCATTTGCCGGGGCCAATGTTCACTACGTACTGTAAGTACCCACTCATAAGTCCAGGCTTGGAATGCGAAGGAAACGAACCCAGGGTGCGGAAGGGCAACGGTGGCCATTCCATTTCACCCTGATCCAATCAAGGACTGCCAGCCACAGTCTGGCCCCCCCTTGTTGAGGCTGGTTTCAGTACGTGATCAGCGTCTTGAAACAAAACGGTGCCTAAGAATAGGCGAAATTCTCGCTTGGAACGCCATAATTCCGGTTCTACTCCGTACCTACCACTGATACCTTATTCACTTTCCTGCCCCCAAAGTGGTGTCATACTATGCTACGGATATTCCCTGTTGCACACCCGTATCGCAGTCGTCCCACAAATTAGACACAAAACTATGACATCGTAACCAGAAGTCGGCCAGATCCAATTACACTTCCCTTCACTGCACGAGCTACGATTGTCTGACAATTTATCCAGGCAGCGGAGAGGAAGGAATTATTGAGATGATGATATTCCCAAGGTTGAAGGAAGTAAAGGTCAACCTCCTACTAGCCAAGTCAACTGGCTCCTACTAGTAACAGGGGTTCAAGGTGTATTCAGTTCAACAGCTAAAGGAATTAAGTATAGTCAAGACAACTGAAAATGTTTGGCCTCAATTCATCGCTAAGGATAAGAACACAAGAAGCGTAGATAAGCCTCCAGTTCAGATAGTACCAGCTTTTTAAGATCCACCCGGGGGGATGCGCAAGGTCATTAGGCCATCACGCGAGCGTTGAAGCTTATCTAGAAGGGGTATTACAGCAGAACACCGGTTGCAACACACAATGGAAGGAGAAAGATGTAACCCCAGACGCCAGACATATTGCCGACCCAGGTGGTATCGCAGAAACCAAGAGCGACGAAGAAGCACAAGGGTGAAAACAAAATACAAACCTGGTTTTACAGCCCGGGCCAGGGATAACCCGAGCGGTAGCATACTTGGAGATATACTCCTTGCAAAGAGGGAGAGAGAAAAGAAGAGGTGACATCTTGAGAGATACGTACCTGATCGAGTGATATCGCGAGAAGCCGTTTGGTCTGAACTCACAGGTCTTCTGGCGGCATGAAGGGCTAGTGTTTGGTGAAGCTCGCTGGCTACCTCCTATCCGTTCAACAGATATGGAGCCTAAGATCAGCACAGCTCGCTGGAGTGGTTAGAGTGAAAAGATGAGAAATGCCCAGAATCGGCGACGAAGCGCGCGGTGAAGAGTGTCGATAAGAGATATTCAGAGAAAATGGCGAGTGAGTAAGTGGGAAAGAAGTGGATTCTATGATGATCGGGATCGTTTGGCGTCAGGCGAGGGCGTCTCAATCAACTCAACTTCATCTTCCGGTTCACGGTGTCGTTTGGTGGAGGGATAAATGTGCGCTTTTGTAGGAGCTTCATTCGCAATCGCGCCTGAATCTTCTTGAAGATCCAAATCAAAATAATCATCGCCGAAATTCAAGTCATCATCATTGTCATGACTGGCGGTCGAAAGCGGACTTTGCTCGGCTTCGTTATCGAAATGTCCGAGATCTTCGAATTCATCTGCATGGGCGACTTCTTCGTCGTCGTTCTTGGGACCTTCGCTTGGCAAGTTGAAGTTGTCCACAGCACCCGTCGATTCATCTTCTGATTTCATAGTTGGATGAGCCTTGTTGTCCGTTTCGTCTTGGAAACTCTCGTCCAACTCAGCTTCTGTACCTTCGGGCGGAGCAGCAGCAGCAGCAGCAGCAGCAGCAGCAGCATCATCATCACCATCAAGCAATGCCGCATCGACATGATCTTGAGAGGATGCAGTGGACTTCTTCTCAGAGGTGTGAGAGTTTTTCCGTACACTGGAAATCTGTTCCCGATGAGTCTCTTGTGCCTCGAAGCCGGAGGTAGCTTCGTAAGGACCGACAGAAGCTGCTTCGACAATTTCACCCGGCTCGAATTGGTCGACTTCGTCCAACGAGTCGAAACCTTCAAGTTGAGTGTTTCCCTTCGAAAACGTTTCATCAAGTTCCGTACCATCGATGTCGTTATACTCATATTGAGCCTCATCGGGCTGATGGTTTGTAACACTGGCGGACCCGCCACCTGCCTGCTGCTCATCTACACTCTCAGTCGGTGGTAGCTGGGTAACCGTGGCACTTGATTCGCTTTGCTCGGAATGATATGATGCTTCATCCGGGTGTTGAGATATAGCTGCGTGGCCTTCAGTCCCAACCTCAAACTCAGCTTCGCCGGCCTGATCAGCGAGGCCTTCTCTAGATGCATCGTCTTCGAGACCATTAGCTGGAATTTCAACTTCCGCTTGAGAATTATCTCCAATACTCTCTTCACCATGATGCTCGTCATGATCTTGTTGGTGATCAGAGACCTCTTGCGGAAGCTCTGTACCAACTTGTTTGTCATTCCCATGTTCAGGATAGTCTTCTTCTTGAGGCAAATCAGAGTAAGGTACCTCGTCAAGACCCTCATATAGTTCCGCGGAGACAGCTTCAGCCTCTGCGTAGCTATCCCAGGCATGAATATCAGTAAGGCCCTTTCCTTCGTTGGCTACTGCGAGAAGATCAGAAAGCTCCGCAGCAAGTGTCAATCGTGTGCTAAGTGAAAGATAAAGCGGCTCCGGCTCATCAATGCCCTCATTGTGGCATAGGCGCAAATAGAGGTCAACTACTTGAAATAGCGTGATCTTGTCCATATGCATAGAATCCTGATTGGTGTTTAGGTTAGCATCTATGCAGTAAGAAAGGCAGGCCAAACATACCTCTACAAACTGAAGGTTCAAGGCATCAACATCCATAATGAGCACCTCCCTATCGCTGACATGCTCTCTGAGGACATTTCGACATGCTTCAAGGAGCTTTGCGAAAGAACCATATGCAAGACTTTCATCTTCCAGGAAAAATGTCTCCGACGAGTCACCCTCCCTAGGGGGGAAAAGAGATATCTCGGTTTCCTGGTAATATACCTTAACTGGGTACAGAGCTTCATGTTCTGCCACCTCAACTGTTTGCTCGACCGGTTGCTGAGTATGCTGACCAGCCGCGGCATCGTTGTCTGTCTTTTCCATGCCCTGGGTCTCGATCGTTCCACCGTCTTGGCGTTCAACTTCTTCTTCATGCTGCCGTTCTACATCTTCAACCTCCTCTTCTTCCCGGATTTCTCCTTCAGCCTTACTTTTAGAGAAGTCAGTCTTGTCGAAATGGCTTTCTTGTGCTTGAACCTGGGCCGATTGTGTAGCATTGTCGCCCTGTTCATCGGGTTGTGTGGGATCTGCAGTTCCATGTTCTGCTTCATTAGCGTCAACATAGCTTTCCTCAGCCTCTCCTTCTTCAAGGTGATCTGCCGCAGGCTCTTGAAGATGCTCAGTTCCTGAGTGAGTCTCAGCATGGTGGGTTGGGAAACCCTCAGCTTCCTGTTCGGCGTCATGCTCCGCTTCGAACACCTCTTGGGGCTCCCCTTGAGGCTCTTTCTGAGGTTCTCCTTGAGATTCTCCTTGAGGCTCTCCTTGAGATTGCTCTTCAAGCTGCTCTTGAGTATCCTCGTCAGGTTCTTTGCGGGATTCCCTTTGTCCGTCTACAACGGTGATACCATCAATTAGACCTTGGCCCTGTTCCGTTGGCTCGTCAAGTTGTTCAAATGAAGGTTGGACGTCAACGTCAGTGACCGGAGCATCGATATCTTCGTCGTAGTCGTCTTCTAACATCTCTGCTTCATAATCCCGATCGGACCCGTACTGCATTTCGATATTGTATCCTTCTTCGGCGAAAGCGTCTTCCGCATCATCCATCGTCCGCTCCGCTATGTCATCGGTCATATCTGCATCGCGAGCGCCCTCCAGGTCGTGATCCACTGCGTTTGATGGCTCTGGAAAGTCGTCCGCTATCATCATGTCCTTATCTGTTGTCGAAGCCTGGTCTTCCATGATGTCGATATCGATGTCGAAATCGTCGACGTGACCCTGATAGGGAGACGCCATTTCCATTTTGTCCTCAGCCAAAGTAGCCTCCATTGTGATATAAGCCAGCGAAGAGGCAGCTGTCATGGCATGAAATCAGCCGAAGGTTGGGTGACGCGTGCAAAATTTGGCGTGGCGATGAAGGTACGCCTGACGAGCAGCTCAAGCGCAAACCGTATGACTGGCTTTGGCTACTAGACGAGTTATCCGCCAAACCTTCAGAGTCAGACGGGGGAGTCCGTCACTAAGAGAGTGCTCAGCTCCGTCAAGAGTGAGCAATAGAGCAGTGAATCCGGGGTGAGTTGAGGATGTTCAACTACGGGGTTGCAAGCGGACGAAGCTTCTTGTGTTGCGGTAAGCGAGGGGGTAGCGCGGGCGCACGGGCCAACGGGGACAAAGAGAACAGCAAGCGACTCCAACCTCCGTGGCTTCGACGTTTAGACACGCCTAACAAGAACATTCGTCATCTGCACTCCCCTGAGCATTTTGTTGAAGGTCTCGCAGTCAATTTGTGCCGAACAGTGAATTTTCAATCTACAAAATGGTAACTTTCCATTAGTATGAGTCAATTTATCCCAGCTTCCACTGCTAACGTGGCACAACACTAGGTCGTCCTCGCAGCATCGATATGCACACGCGGGGGCAAGGCAGTCCTCTCGCGTCAATTCAGAGAAATCGCTCGTTCCAGAATTGAAGCTCTCCTCGCATCCTTCCCTAAGTTAGCTGACTCTGGAACACAACATACGACCGTGGAGCAAGATAATGTCCGCTTCGTCTACCAGCCCCTGGATGAGCTATATATTGTTCTGATCACAAACCGCCAATCCAATATTCTGCAAGATATCGACAGCCTTCACCTTTTCGCCCAAGTCACCACCAGTATCTGTAAGAGCTTGGATGAAAGAGAGATTGTGCGCAATGCGTTCGAATTGCTCAGTGCGTACGACGAGCTGGTGACGCTAGGATACAGGGAGAATCTATCACTTTCTCAAATCAAGACATTTCTGGAGATGGAGAGTCACGAGGAGAGAATTCAGGAAATCATCGAGCGGGTACGACTCAGCAAAATGGCTTCAGACCGACAGTTGCTAACTTTCCCTGTCAGAACAAAGAATTGGAAGCCAGCGAGGAGCGCAAGAGGAAGGCCAAGCAGCTGGAAATGCAACGAAAGGAGGCCGCCCGGAGCGGTCGTTCAATGGCGCCTCGGACTCCATCTTACCCTGTGTATACGCCTCCATCCCGCCCTGCTGTGCCCGAAACATATGACACCTACGAGGCAGAGAAGAAAAAGACCTTCGCTAAGTATGTCATATAAACCCCCCCCCCTCCCCTTCCACCGACCCCTTGTACTTCACGCCCCAATTCATATCGCTGCTGACACTCCCGGCTCCGATCGTTAGACCATTACCTGTCCGTGGCAAGGGTATGCAGCTCGGCAAGAAGTCGAAAACTACTGATATCTACGAGAAAGTCCGTGGCGACTTGGGCCCCGAGGCAGAGGAGGCCACCCCGTTGGTGACCCCGCAGGCATCGACCCCCGTTGCCGATACAGTGTCTTCTGCTCGTGCGTCGCTGTCTGGCGATCGTGAACCCGTTCATGTGACAATTGCCGAAACTATCTCCGCTACACTTACCCGGGAAGGAGCCCTCAGATCGTTTGAAGTGAAGGGTGATTTACAGCTTCGCATTACCGATCCCTCTTTCACCAAAGTCAGACTCGACCTGCTTGCAGTCCCCACGCATGGCGCGCAGTTCCGCACCCATCCAAATGTTGACAAGGCCGTCTTCACAAATGACTCCGCTATCCAGCTGAAAGATATCACTAAGCGATTCCCAGCCAACAACTCAATTGGTGTTTTGCGCTGGCGTGTCGCTAGCTCTGGGTCTGACAACGCTGAAATACTTCCTATCACTTTTACCGTGTGGGTCAACAAGGGCTCTGATTCGACTACGGTCACGGTTGAGTACGAACTCACTGGCTCCGACAGCCTCCGGGACGTTGTCGTTACTATCCCCTATCAGACGGCCGAGCCCGCGGTGTCTAGCTTCGACGCGGTGTATGAGGTATCTGGCGACAGTCTTGACTGGAACATTGGCACGGTGGACGAGAGCAACGCATCCGGGAGCTTTGAGTTCGAGTCGAGTGGTGATGGCGATGAAAATGAATTCTTCCCGATGAGCGTACGCTTCTCCAAGACCAGCCCTTTTGTGGAAGTCGATGTCAACGAGGTCTCTCTCTTGGAGATGGAAGGAGAGAGCACTGCTTTCACCAAGGACATCAAGTGTGTTGCGGAAGGATTTGTTATTGAGTGATCTTTCTACTTCAGTCGGGTGTATAGAGTATTAATGACGTTCGGATGCCCTTATTTTCTATTCTTAAGAGACTTTGCAATATTTCTGTTTGCTTTTCTTCTAACCAGGGTTTCTTTCTTCTCAATCTGCAATCCACCCTAACTTTTGAATCATACCACTCGCGCACCAGACTGTTCCGGATGCTCAAACCCGCCTAAGTGTCAAGGTTGGATAGAAGCCACTCTACCAGGTTTAGGGCTGGCTGAGGACTAGGCTCGGCGATTGCTGTGTGTCTCGACCATGGATAGATGCAGCGAACGTTATTGCTCGACATAACTTGGGTTCATGAAAATCATCGGAGACGCATTGTAGTAACATCTCCGCTTCTCTGTGGGTGTGTGCTGAAGTCACCAATTACCTGCCCACCGAACCTGATGAGCTGGCTATAAGTTCCAGCCAAACCAGGCAAGTCAGATGTGATCCACATGCAGCGGAAGTTTAAATGACCTTCCTTCTATCGGCATTGCCTGACTCCGTTTCAGGTACTATGCAAGTTTTCTCGTTGAACCCGGTAGACACCTGAGCTTCTGAAGCACCCCTGTGACTGTTGACTCCGTCATTTCACAGACCTCAGCCATGGAAGATCAAGTAACTTAGCCAAGCATGAGGTCAAGATGCTTTCGGTAAGGTTGAAACAGCTTTCTGAATGGCCACCTTTGACTCAGGGATCCACCCAGCGTGGCATGACATACACAGTCACTGCATAAAGTCGTGGGCAACTTCCATGGAGACTGAGGCCACTGTACCTAGGCGCACTCTTGAGAAACTTGAAGCTTAAATGCCTAGCTTCAATAGTGTCAGGCAACAAGCGATTAAGCGTCCAGCGGCTCGTGGCTCATCAGTCAGTTGTGGCGAGGTATAGATCACGCATGAAGAGAGAATGTTTACTGCAACCTAAAACCTGGCTCCTGGGAGACTTTCTCTCATCCGCCATTTCAATGGATTTGTGACTCGAGATCTTTGGTGGTGAACAATACATTTCCCCAGCGATCACAATGCAGTCTGCTGCCTGTGTGTAAGTAAGAGGAATGATTCACAAAGCTTTAGCAGGCTAAGGTCGGAAATCACATGCTAATTGACAGATACAATTACTTGACCGTCTCCATAAGCATATGAGCTCAGAAATGGTTGAGAAGGTTTCCATTCGGCTACTAGACCGCTCCAACCATGGTACGCTTCCTATACTTTGGGTGCGCGCTTCTTCGCATGGCCGAGAAAACAACGATGTTTGTATCCCACCTCTGCTCTCAAGGAAGATGGAGACTCGGTCTCGCCCAGCTCATCTTTTCTTTGTCAAAGGTTGATATTCGCCTCAATGCCAAGGCATGCAAGAGTTTAAGAGTCTACCAACAGTGGAAGGAGATGGCAGGGTTACATTTTACAATTGAACCCCGCATAAGCTATCTCATCAGAACCGATGCTGGAGAGTTTACCAGCGGTGAGCCAACTCAGGATCCAAGAGGTGTGTGTGTACCTTTTTTTTTCTGGCTCATTTCACATGTTGGTTCTGGGTCCGCTACAGCCAGACCACAGATGGGCGCCTGACGAGCTTTGAATCATAAGGAGTCGACTTAGGTAATAACAGATAGAAGATACTGCACGGTGAGGCCAGTCCAGGGTCGAGACTCACCTCAGTTAAACTACATACGGGAACGGGTTACGCATCCACCGAGTCATGAGAGAGGTATTTATCCCATTTTCACTCTTTCACTCTCTATTTCCGCAGAATAAACTCAGTGGAAACCAGTCAGGAACCACTCATCCAGGACTTCTCCACCCCCCGCCCCCCTCTCCATTGACGCTGAATCCAAATCCAAAACGTCCTCCAACCACGGCAGTGCCTTCCATTTGTAAGTCTCCTCCGACTCAAGGGGTCAGGGTCGACCAGATGACATCAACATGAGCCACTATCTTCTTTTCAAGGCGTACCAAACTATAAGATTCATGGATAATATAGAACCCATCCCTATTGATACCACAACCGACACACCTGATCAACAACATGCGGGTTCTTCTCCTCTCACAACCCCACGTATCCCCATAATGCAGATATCCAACTGGACAACTCAATCAGCGTCAGCGTTGTTTCAAGTCGCTGCGCCTGAAGCAAAAGGGCACAGCCATGGAGTAAGCTAATAATGACACCCAACTCAATGCACTCATTTCGAACATGCTAAAACTTTCCCTCTTTTTCTTTCTCTCCAGGATAACCCGATCCCCCCTTTGCTTAGGCCCAGTAGGGACCTTTCCGGTATCAGAAAGATGGCCATCCCGAGGTTGGCTGAAGGAAAAGAAGCAGTCCATTCCGCTCGGTCTCACCGTCGCCACGTAAGTCGAGCGTGCGAATCTTGTAGGCAGAGAAAGACAAAATGCACGGGAGACAAGTCAGGCTGCCGCAACTGTCGGGATGCCGGGATGATCTGCTGCTACACTGACGGAAAAAGAGAGAAGTCTAAAAGGTGCGTCAAACCTGAGCACTGAGCACACTCAGAGCCTGAGAACTGACGCTGATTGCCACGAACGAAGACAAATGGCCGGCTTGGAAACTAAGATCAATGCCTATCAAGAAATTTTGCAAAGATTAAGCATTCGTTATCGCATGTCTGAAGAGCAGCTGATCAGACTCGCTTTGGCAGGGGTACGCTCAATGACCTCTGCTGTTTAGTTTCTGCTTAGGGCCCTTGCTGAGTCTCATCCAGGAAGACCCGTCCGAAGACGCCTCCTCCCATGACGATTCTGCGACTCCGAACACCGAGGCCCGGAGGCAATCGTCGGTATCTGAAGCCATTACACCTTTGTTTTCGGGATTTGAGAACAACCTAGACCTCATAGAGGAGGATTTAAATCGGGACGAGGCTTCGCAAGCGACTGGTTTCGTCGGCCAGAGCTCAGAGATCTCTTGGCTACAGACTCTGGCCAGAGAACTGGAACTTGGCTATGATCATGGATACTTCAGTGGGAAGGAGCCATCCCCAGCAAAAGCAGCAGCCCACCACAATCGCTTCATCTCATTTCCGAACTACCATTTAGACGCCATGGAGATCCCTATATATGACAACGTGGATCCATATTCTTGCCCCGCCAAGGATGTTGCAACGAAGCTTTACAAGACATACCTTGATTGGGTTCACCCCTCGTTTCCGATCATCGGCACTGCCCCTTTTGGGGCACAATTCCTGGCTTTCGTCACAAACTCATCCTTACGCCCTGGGTCCCTACGCCCTGGGAATCGCTGGCTAGCAATACTCAACCTGATCTTCGCCCTTGCTACTAAGTACGCGCATTTATCCGAGGCTGAGTGGCAAATGGATAAGGACGCACATTTTGTGTACTTTCTCAAGGCCAAAGCTTTGGGTCTAGATCATCAGCTACTCACTTTCCCTGACCTACAGCAGCTGCAGATTGAAGGACTAACTGCTTTGTATATGCTGACGCTGGGCCATGTGAACCGGTCCGTGTGCTCAATCCATCCATGCTCTGTTCTACTGCTCACACACAGCTAACAATGTATGTCAGCGCTTGGGCAACTTGTGGAAGCGCGATCCGCGGGGCTCTAGGCCTTGGGTTGCATCTACGCCATCTTGGAGACAGCATATCCGACACTTCAAGAGAAATCAGATGCCGTGTATGGTGGTCTCTATATACGCTTGATCTTCGGCTCAGTGTGATGACTGGGAGGCCTTCTTTCATCCCCGACAGCCTGTGTACGACACCTCTGCCCCTTCCATTCGATGAGCAAGACTTTGGGAGGGAAGAGGTGATGCGGCAGCTTAGGCGCTCGATTGACGGTAGCCCCTGTCCGACGGAAATGCTGTCAACGGGCCAGTCGGATTTGAATGCAATGAGCACGGTGGCCGAGAAGGTGGATTCAGAAGAAGACAGATACTCACCCTGCGGGTCCTTGTACTTTGTTCATTTGGTGCAACTAACCATGATTGCAAAAGAATCCCTAGCCAAGATCTACACCCCGAGCACAATTCGATCTCCTTGGCAAAGCATTGAGTTCGCCATACACAGCCTCACACATAAACTTGACACATGGCTGAACAATCTCCCCAACGAATACGATTTCACCCGCACCCAGTCATCGCATGTATCGTCGGAAACGTCAAATCAGAGGCTTAGTCTGGCTCTATTGTTTTACAGCACCAGAATGGGCATCACACGACCATGCCTTCGTCGTGTAGATTCCTTTAGCGAAGGGGACAAGATGCAAGAGTTCGGTCAGGAAATTGCTGCAGAGTGCGTTGAATCAGCCTGTCACATGTTAAGACTGTTCCCAGAGGACTTGAAAGCTGCAACGCTATATACAGCGTCACCTTGGTGGTGTTTATTGCATTACTTGATGCAAGCAACGGCGGTACTCGCTCTTGAGCTCGCCTTTCAAGCTCAACATGTACCGGATAAAACGCCGATGGTTTCGAAAGCTCTTGATAAAGCGTATGAGTGGCTGTCTTTGATGTCAAGGACACAAAAGACTCCGGAAAGAGCCCGCAGACTCTGTGATCGGCTTTTGCGCCAACTCAAACAACGGGAGGACATCAAAGTCTCTGAGTCTCCTTCCGTCCAGTTGACCAGCCTCGAGTCGCCTGCCGAAACACCCTCCATCTCACATCCGATTAGAACAATGACAGAAAGCTCGGCGGACTCAGACAGTTCACCTCTTGGGACGTTGGACTATCAGGAATCACCGGCCTTATTGACCGGCGATATCCATTACCCGTCCCCACACCTCCTGGAAGCGGCAGGCGACCTTCCAATTCAAAGTGAGAGCACGTTGGAAATTCCGAGCGATTACGACGAGTTCTTTCCTTACGACACAACTATTGGTCAGCTCACGGGCTCCTTCTTCCCTACGGAGTATGGAATGGATGTGGAACCGAGTAATCTCTACCACTTTTGACAATCCACTCGAGTATTCGACATCAGTGTAAGGGTCAAACTCAGAGTGGGGGACTTCGGATAGGCATGCTCGGAGACTGTCCCATCAGCACAACCCTTATCCTTATTCATTCATCAGCATCATAAAGGTGGAAACTGTGTGTGTGTCTGTGCGCAAGCCGATCATGCCTAACGGAAATGATACAAATTAGTTTTCACTAATTTTCCAGACTGGGCTAGGTAATTCTATCAAAGGCTGTCACTATGCAGGGAAAGGTCCACGGTGACTGACTGCATCTCCGAGTTGGGTTGAAAGTTCTTCTACTTGCCGAGAATAAGCACCATCAAAGAGAGTCTGCAAGGCTATACATGTAAGAAGTAGATAGGTCTTATCGTAGCTGGACATCTGATCTTTTGATCCTCCTGCCTATATGTAAACCTCAATACACCCATTGCGGCCATAAAGTTTTCAGGCCCATAAGTGTAGCAGATGGGGTGAGTATAAAATCATGTTACAATTTTTTTACGAGTGCCCATGCTCCCATTCTTAGATAAGTCATGGTGCCTGCTTAGTAATTCGGATACATAACTAAGTTAACTAACTTAAACAATCCCTCCCATATAATAACAGAGCTTGTTCATTTCCTTTCGCAACCATCACATTTTGCCTCCTGATAACAAACATTATTGAATCGCAGCTGTACATTGACATGAGCTACTAGCTATAGCTCTTAATGGAGTCCGTCTTTTGTCATACAATTACTAAAGTTGTTACATAGCATCTTGTGTTGTCGGTTACAATCGACAGCACGACTACCTCTAAAAGGCTATACAACTATCTGCTTCTAGCGCAGGTGAAAAGCACATTCGCTTTGATGACCTCTGAGATCTGCAAGAAAAGTGGCTTGGAAGGAGACTTCCACTGTAAAACACTTTTCAGGCTGCGGTACCGAGCGCGAACTCATTGGCATGGATCTTAATCACTCCTCCCCCTCGGTTGAGGCATCCATCCGATGTGCTCTAGATAATCCGTCGCTGCAAAACTCCAAGAGAACCAAACAGCCTCCTGATGGATCTTCAAGTCCTTTCCTGAAGCATAATGATCCCCAGTTCTCAGACCGGAGCTCTTCGGGCATCAATGTCATCCTTCCGACGGGGGATATAGCCATTGAGCACCTGGACCCCGAAACAGTGGCTGCCTCTCCATCCAGAGCTGTGGTCCATCGTTGGCGAGTGTCCAGCAGTGATATCATGCGCAATAGCCCATACTTTAGGGCTCTTTTGGATCCGCACAAGTTCGCGGAAGGCAAGAGCCTGATGCACCAAAAGGTCCAGACCCAGCAACTGGCCTCCGAATCTGCTGTTGGGAACCTAGACTCTCCCGATGGGGAGCAGGCCTGGAATACGGACGAATTACCGGTCGTTCGACTTCCAAGCGATCACTTTTCCTCGCGTCTCGGAACGGATGTCATTGAGCTCTTTCTCGAGGTTCTGTCCTACGACTCATACGATGACGAACAACAGCGGGCGTTTGACGCCAGACTCAGAGTGCAGCCTGTGTCCCTTGTCTCGAGATTGGTGGAATTAGCAGATGCTTTCAACTCACCACAGGCCGTTCAGAAAGCTCTGACAAGGTCGGGTATGCTTTTGGCAAGGGGAAGGTCCCTCTCACCAAGTTCGATGCAGCCTCTCTGTTGAAGATGCCCGAAGATCGGATCCGCCAGACAATATTCGTGGCTCGATTCCTTAATGAGTACGCCATTGTTCAGGTGTACACCCATACCCTCGTCGTGATGGGGTCGAGATATTGGTCGAATGGCGTCGTTGAAGCTCCTGGAACTCCCACGTTTCCCTGGCGATATCTCGCTGGAGGGATAGAAGGTCAGACATCAACCTCTAAACAAGCACATAGCTTGTCCGAGAAGCAAATCACGTTACTGATGAACAGATCCAGAGGAGCTTTACTTTCGCCGACAATGCGTCCTCAACACGATCACCGACCTGCAAGCCCACTTCCTCCGTGCCTACGGAGCTCTCGAAGACGCGGCAGACGACGCCTACCCTTCCGCCACAGCAACAACATCCACATCTACAGCCACGACAACCACGACAACAACCCCCCAACCCAGACCCCCGTTCTCCCTGCCTGCCACCTCTACCACCATTCACCCCCGCCATTTTCAATGCCGCTACGGCTTCGCCAACTCTAGCGCCTGCGACGTCTTCCATCTAGGCCAAATGACGCGCTTCTTCGCCTTACGCACCAAGACCATCTTCCTCGGCTCCACTCTCATTGACGACCCGGATTTCCTTCTCCCGCTGGATGATGAAGACCACGATAATGAAGAAGCTGATGATGCGAACCTCACCACCGATCACCCACCAACTCCCATCCCACAACAACAACAACAACAACAACAACCCCAAACAAATATAGCCACACTCCTCGCCTCCCTCAAACAATGCCCGGACTACCAGATCGACACCAACCACACGGGCTGCGGCATCCGCCGCCGCTTCCTGCCGCCCCTGGACTGCATCGAGCGATTCGTCGGCGACGCCCGCGGCCTGCTGGGCGTAAATCTAGCGCCACCGTCATCGTCATCGACATCGTCCTCCCCCTCGCAGGGTAGTGGTTGGGCCGCGACGACGCGGTGGACCGTGACTCCCGGGTCGTGGGCGAACCGGTCCCGCCCGCGCGCGTTGGTGCTAGATGTGCATTTGTCGCGGATCAATGCCATTCCCGTGCTGGCGCGTGGCGGTGGGAGGAAGGTCGAGCGAGGGGTCCGGGTGGGCAGTTCGCAGGAGGAGAATGCGAGGTTGCTGTTCACGGCGCGGAGGAGGAATTGGGAGGCTTAACTTCTTCTTTCTCCCTCTAGTTCTGCTCCCCACTTCTCCGCTTGATATATTTGGCGATAACAAACGGTTATGTCTGTGGGGTTCATGGTTTGGATTGTGGAAGTTGGGTTATGTTTCGATAGAAAGATTGCGGGAAAGGGATATTGGCGAATTGCGCCTGCCCACTTTTGGGATATATGGTTGGGAGATCACGTCATGGATAGGTGCACCTCAATGCACTACTAAGTTGGGGTACAGGGCAGGGACCCTGCAACGATGTATATACTCATAGGGATAGAAGCTGAGAAACGAAAGTTAGAATCAATAACATAACATGAGAATCTGGAGCAGGCAGATTAGCAGCACAAAGACTTGCCCAGGTTCTATGCGCCTGCTCTCGCCCTTTCTGTGTGCGCTGAAATACATTTAAATCTACTTCTCTTGAGCGTTCATTTTTTTTTTTTGGTTGAGGCTCTTCAAGGAATAGCTTTTGTGGGCATTGCGCCGGACCAGCCAAATGACGACCAATTTGACGTCTGGTCGGCCTGTCGACAGTTAGCCGACCAAGTCAATCACCTGCCCACCAAACACTACCAATGATCCCTGATCTCGCAGAAGTTAAGTCTCAACTTGATCCTGATCCTACATATGCCAATTTTGTACCGACACCCACAAGATTAATAGTACATCTTATCCGTCTATTGTAACATGTGACTAATTTCGGATATGTAGATCTGATAGATAGGTGATTATGCTTCTGGTAATGTGCCACAGGATAAATGCAAAGGAAAGACCGGTAACAGCATGATTTTCAGGGCGCTCAACTCCATAATCCATAGGTGCATAGTGATGCCAACAAGAAAAGTGATGGTGGTAATGTATGTATAAGGACGAGAATTGAAGGAAAGGTAGATTATTTGGTAAATGTCCAGGAGAAAGATATGTGAAGTGGAACACGGAATTGATAACGAAAATTGTGGAAACAGCATGGTGCAGTGTACGCCCTCAAGGCAGCACAACCAGAGGAATGTGCAATACTTGGTAGCTCTTATCTGTATCTGCCTTCAGCTGCAGGTTTCCACGTTCCTGGGCGGTTGTTTCGCGAAGCTGCAGTGCTTTACCAGTAATCTGGAACAATTTAGAGGCTAACGGATTGAGGGAGTCCAAGGGGAGTGGTGGTTCAGGCATGGAAATGCTATTCTGCTGGTGCTCTTCTTCGTCTTCGTCGACCTCATCCAGCCCTTGACCACTCACTACACTGAGGCGACGGGAGATAGGCGACACCAACGCAAAATGAGGGACCGCTTCGTCATCATCTGACGAGTATGGACTCAATTGCTGCTGCTCTTCACCGTAGCCGGAGACACCCGCCCCAAACAAGTCCTTTCTTTGAGAGACCAGGTGCCACGGCTCTCCACACACAAATCCAGCCACGAAATCTTGGTTGGCGCGGGCAGCAGCCACGCAACTTTGGCGGTAATCATTGGTGAAGGAACTGGCCGTGGAGGATGGTAGACACAAGACTAACCCACGAGCCATGAGTGGTGGGGGTGGAAAGTCCTCAGGGATGGTCGCGGGGCTCAAGGACCGGAATTCAAAACCACGTCGCTCGTATTGCGGGGATTCCAAAGGTAGCTCGGTGGAGTCTTCGGTGTGTTGAGTGATGGTTTGAGTCAAGGAGATGGTGGAAGCTTTGCGAGGAGGAAGGTCGAGGCCGCTAGTGTTGTCGACGGCATACTCGGAGAGGTGCTGCGATGTCGCATTTGCGTCATGGTCGCTGAAAGAGTGATTGTTGGCGTTATTGTCTGCTGTGATTTCGGTACGAATGGTCTGAGCCGCATCTGCTACTGCCTCGCGGGCGGCCGCCTTCAGAGTGGGAATCAGAATGTCGGCTTCCTGGTTATACACAGCCACGCCGGAGGCCCACGCCGTCGAAAGGCCAGCCCACGAGGCCGGCTTGATGATACCCTTCGTATACTTCTTGCGAATCATATCAACGGTCTCATTCCGCACCTCTCTCGTCTCTGCTTTCTGTCCACCAACAATGTCCACTGTGGAATTCAGGATCCGACCGCCCTCCCAGATCAGGAAGCCATGTCTCCTCGCTAGGGCAACCAATTGGCGAACCGTCTCCTCCGACCAGTCATCAATAATGTCTGCATAGACTTGTAGAATAGCAATATGCGGGCCAACTAAAGTGGCTAGGTGCAGGAGAGTGTCGGTGTTGGTGACGGTATGCGAAGGCGAGACGCAGACGGGAAGTCCGTAAGGCAGATATGACTTAGATTTGACCAAGGTCTCCAGATAGGCGACGATCCGATTGCCCGGATATGAAGGAGAATCCAACGACGAGTCCATCATTGCTGGTGAGCACTGTTGCAGAGGATTTCGGAGTGAGAGAAGAAGGGTGTTTTGGTTGTGTTGTACTGTACGGGAAAGGGAAGTGACGGTGTGGATATGATATATAGACAGCACACAACAGAGGACACAGGTAGATCAACCGTCAACAGACAGACAGACAGTCAGTCAGTCAGTCAGTCACAACTAAATCAATCGGGTCGTACAGGAGGGCGGAGACGGGGTAAGGAAGAGAGAAGAAGGGGAAGAGGAGGAGGAGGAGGAGGGGAGAGGAGAGAATGACAAGACGGGGAGAAGAGGAGGAGGAGGAGGAGGAGTAGGTAAGGTTAAGTTGGTGGTGCCTTTGTTTTTTTTTTGCCTTGCCTTGAACTTTCAGTCAGGCTCAGGGAGCTGGGCCAACTTCCGGAGTCGTCGTAGCTTGGTTGTTCCCGTTGAGCTACGGAAGAAGAGCTTCGGGACTAAAGTGACTCCAACCCACTCGAGTCCCTTGACTGGTCGACTTGGTCGAGACAAAATGATTGACAATCGAGTCCCATCCCCACTTGGCCTGCCAATGACCAGACTAGTAGTCACTCGACATGATCAGTCGACAGGGGTTGGGAAGGACCTTTTTTGCTCGCTCTTGATTTTCTCTAATTTTCTCTAATTTATTTGCTTTTTCCCCTGGTGTGATCGGACAGTGGCTCAGATCTCAAACCATTATGTTGTGGTGGTTGACAGAAACACAACAGCGCATCGGTAGGCAAAGGTACGACAAGAAGATGGAAGAGACAGTGTGAAATTAAAGGCTGGACGGGCCATGCAGGAAGCCACAATCCCTCTCAGCTGCAGCCATGGATCTACTGCATGTACTCCGTACAGTATCCGAGTACAGTATCAAATACTATGTACTATGTATGCATGAATGCATGAATGGGTCAATAGGTGAATGGGTGAATGGGTGAATGGGCGAATGGATCAATGAGTGAATAGGTAAATAAAGCCCGGAGGACTAAACTGAAGGAGTACGTATGAATGGAGGAGGGGAGAGAAGGGGGAAGTGGAGGATGGAGGGGAGAAAGAATGAAATGAGGGGATTGTCACCAGTCACCACTCCGTACCGAGTACGTACTCAACCCGTACCTACAGTAGGTACCTCAGACTCAAGGCCTTTTTCCCCGTTTGTCCGGTACCGGATGGTAGTAAGTTGGAGAGAAGCTTTCTTAGGTTTGGGCACCTGTGAAGATCCTAAAGAAGTACAGTGTGGTAGGTGAATTATACTACCATGTCAAATGTCACTTAATCACATTGAGATATCGACTGATTTTTCTGAAGTCCTCTTTTTGACTTCTCAACCCTGATTCTCAAGTTTGCAATACACTACATACAGTACACCTGTAGTCTAGCACATCCGGTAAAGTGCAGTGGAGTCCTGCATTGCCCCATCATCACTGGGGGGGCCCAACCCGCTTTGTCGGAACGAGCGATCCGACTGGGTGGAAATAATGCGTCGCTACGATTTCCCATATCCAATCTCAATTCCACTTCTTTCTCCGACCCCCCAGTACTTGCTTGTACTGACTACTGAGCATCTGGACTCCCGTCTACTCAGTATGAGTCCTAGACTCCTTTTGGGCGTACTTTACCTTTTCCACTCATCGCTTGAGCCTGCAATCTCCCTCCAGCCTCTCTATACCATATCATCCCCCTCCACATCTCCCACACCACCCACCTCCTCTCATTTGCTCTCCGGGTGTCCAATGGATTGAATTCAACATCCCGCCCCGTCGCCAACAATTTCCTTGGTTGAGCGTGAAGGCTACTTGAGAAGTACCGTAGGACAATGATAGTCGATCGAAACTTGGTATCCACTAAAAAGACCTTACTCGGCCTACCCTACCTTGACATCCGGTCATCTGCGAGCAATCCTCTCTAGCTTCATCTTGGCGGTCGATCCTACCATACAAGCCCGGGGGGCAGAGAGCCTCGTTCAAGTTGTCAACGAACAACCCATCATGACAGGGCAGGATCCATCTTTTCCCGGAATCCAGAATTCCATGTCATACCCTTCCTGCTCCTCGACCTGGTAGAGCTCAGAGCCCCCAGTGCCCCATGATCCATCAACTGCCGGGATGCATTATGATGAGTCCTAGTGTCCTCGATCTGTCTGAGCGATCTCTCTTCCAGTCGGACGCTTTGACATTTTCCAAGGCCATGGTGCAGGTTCCTGGACGAAACATGCATAGCCTTATAGATCAAACGCATGAAAGCGACCAGGATGCGCTCGCTCTATAGTCTAGTCCCTCGGCAACTTCGAACGCCTCAATATCGGATGGTTGAACTAGCCTAATAATTCTGACGCCTAATTCGTATGGTCCTTTCGTCGTCGGTCGGAAGCTGATGCTTACGGATACACTGGCCGAGACTGGTCCGGCGAACTGGGGCGAGGGGAGAGGCCCGTCGATCAGCCCATCTTCGGGATTGTTTCACGGATGCGCCCCTGCCCCCCCTCCTCCCCCTCCTCGTCAAGGACGTAAGGATCAGGATAGGGAATTTCGCTGTCTGCTTTCGTATTGCATCAAGCAGATAAACGACTTTCCGCGGGACAATCTTCCGTATCTTCCACAGACTGTGTTACGCTACAGAGCTCGAGCGGTCGCTTCTTGTGCTCTGACCTCCGTAGGTACATGTACTGTACTTTTTGCGATCGCACCGCACCGTATCCGATAAGCTATAGGATCAGTCTAACGGTCCTAAATTAACACCATTAGCTCCAGGTCATTCATACCGTTCGCCTTCGATGTTAATTTAGCTTCCGATGCTGTTCCGAATAAGGTAGATCATTGCTTCGTAGTATTACATAGTACTAATTGAAAGGCGGGACCACTTGGAGACTAAACATTGAACAATGAACAATTGACTTTTGCTCTCCGCAATATGCACACTTTCAGGCCAGCTGCTAACTTATGTACTGCATTGTAGACGGCAGTCGACGGCTGAGACGGCCCGCGGGCTGATGCTGGCTTAATGTTGGTGCCTCAGGCAAAAGAATCAGGCATAGAGGAGCAGGGCACAATTCAGGGGCAGCGCCCGTAGGAGATTAGTGCCACCCTGCATTATTGTTCCCGACTTTGATTTGGGTCTGCCGGCGAGCGCTGGAATCTCCCCTCTCATACTCCGTTCCCTGTGAAAGAAACGAGAGCCAGTATCATCTTTCCAAATCCCGTCTTTCTCTACTCCGTTGCGATACGGTTCCGGTGCTGTATAGCTTTGTTGATTGCGTGGTTGTCGCCGCACTTGCCAGTGGACTCACTTTAAGGGATTTTTTCCTCCCCCGGAGTCTCGGACCCGTCGCCTTGGTCGATATTTTGACGCTCACGCCACTCACTTCACCATCCTTTTATTATCGGCTCCCACCGCGATTCCCCGCTACTCGTCCAAAGGCGTTCGTCGCATTTGCAGTGTCTGTGGTTACCCTTCCTCGCCCACTTGCAGCATCTTTGCCTCAGTCCCTTCGAGTATCTAGCTGTACATCCGCCATGCCTGGAAAAGTACTCCCCGTGTTCACCCCGGCCGAGATCGAACTCCATAACAACGCCAAGTCATGCTATGTGACGTTGGGATCCAAGGTTTACGATGTCACTGAGTTTGTGGACGGTCACCCCGGGGGTGAGGACCTCGTCCTTGAGTATGCCGGCAAAGACGTAACTGAAATCTTGCGCGACGAGTCCTCCCACGTCCACTCCGACTCGGCTTATGAAATACTGGAGGAGTGCCATATCGGCTTTGTGGCTTCTGAATTCAATGGGAAGGCTCGAACGGTTGATGCATCACAAACACAGCAAGTGGCGAATGGGTCTGGAGCAGTCTATGCCACGACCGGGATGTCCTGTGAAGAAGACCTGTCTGTCGATACAGACTACACCCAAGACTTCCAGACGCACAAGTTCCTCGACCTCAGCAAGCCCCTTCTCAAACAACTTTGGTTTAGTGGCTTCAGCAAAGAATTCTATCTTGAACAGATCCATCGCCCGCGTCACTACAAAGGAGGGGAGTCTGCGCCCTTGTTCGGCAACTTTCTGGAGCCACTCAGCAAGACCGCATGGTATGTCGTCCCCATCATGTGGCTCCCACCTGTCGCCTACGGCACCTTTGTTGGGTTTTCGGGGCTTGCGAATGCGCCTGCTGCTGCTGGATACTGGGTCGGTGGGCTCTTCCTTTGGACTCTAATCGAGTATCTGATGCATCGATTCCTGTTCCACATTGATCAGTATGTCTACCCCAGGCGACACACGCTTATCTCTGTACATCCCTGCTAATTCATGCAGCTATCTTCCCGACAATCGTGTTGGACTGACTCTCCACTTCTTGCTCCACGGTATTCATCACTACTTGCCGATGGACAAGTATCGCTTGGTCATGCCCCCAACTCTTTTTGTTGTATTGGCAACGCCATTCTGGAAGCTTGCTCATGCTGTCTTCTTCTACAATTGGTATGCTGCTTTGACAGTGTACTGTGGCGGTATCTTCGGCTATATCTGTTACGACATGACCCACTACTTCCTTCATCACCGCAAGTGAGTAGAACGACCTCCTTTCGTGACTTGGACCGTTTCGCTGATCATTCACTTCTCTAGTCTTCCCATGTACTACAAGCAACTTAAGAAGTATCACCTTCAGCACCACTTCGCAGACTTTGACAATGGCTTTGGTGTCACCAGCCGCTTCTGGGATCAGGTGTTTGGCACGGAGCTGGAGACTCCTGCCCTCAAGGGTGCGAAGGCCCTGTGAATAAGCCAATGCTATACTCTAGAGTGGCTGGCTCTCTTCATGGGCCCTGACATGAGCTCATTGCTCCTTTTATTGACTCTGTGACATACGAAGTAATGCCGTGGTCGTGTGCTGTCCCTAATGTCGCTGTGCTCAGGAGTTGGTTTACTTTTTGATTCTTCGTCACTTTGCTTCGTGTACAGATTTGCCATGGACCAGAGCAGTGGAAAACGTCTTTTGTAAGGCGAATGACCATGACTCGTAGGTCGACCGGCGGTGGTATTATTACATAGATTTTCTACGATTGTATATGATAACCTAATACATAATCCCTCTCTTCGAATCTCGTTTCCTCTGTCAATTCAGCCCAAATAGCCTTGAAGCACTTTAGGGACATTCCTTAACACTTTTCACGGACATACAGTAGACTATAACATGTCTCTTCCATATCATCCATGGTTCACTCCAAACACAAAAAAAGTCAAAAAGGGCGGCGATTGCCAAGCTTCACGTGACTGGCCGACATTAGCCAGCGGAACACCGATGAGTGACTCTGCCTCTCAACCTTATCATCCTCACCATCAACATCGCAACTCCGACCGTACTCCTTTCATGCGAGCTACAACCTCTCAGTGGCTCATAATCGACTGAAGTTATATCGCACCAGAAGCAGATCTCATCTGCAAGGATCGCTGGATACAAATAGAAGGGTTCGCTCAAGCCACGGCCGGTGCACCTATCACGCTTCTAACGAAAGTCGAAAGTGACCTCAATCCTTTCCGCACGGTCTTCCACTCTACCCAAACCGTTTTCTATCAGATCACACCCAGAAAAAAACACACTCGCAGAAAAGCCGAAAGTCCTATACCTTCAAAATGTCAGGCCTTGATGTTGAAGCTCTCCTCGAGTCTACGGCTGCCCCGACGCCGCAAGAACAACCCCCGCGTTCCCAGGACAATGATGACCGCTCCACCAAGGGCGAGAGCAGTGAGCGTCGCGACCGCGACCGCTCGCGTGAGAACAAGGATCGCAAGCGGCGGGACCGAAGCCGCGGCGACCGACGTCGGTCGCGCGATGGAGACGGAGACGAAGAAATGAAGAGCCCGAGAAGCGAACATGGCAGTGCTAACGGAAGCCATAGAAGCAGAAAGAGGAGCAAGAGCCGGGACAGTGACCGCCGTCGCTCTCGCCGTGATCGAGACCGTCACGGCGATGATTACCGCTCCTCCGGTGGCGATTTCTACCGCGGTGGCGGTCGGGCTCGCACCCGGTCGAGATCCCCTTATGATGATCGGTACTACCGTCCCTCTGGCCGCTCCCGTCATGACGACCGGGACGAGGACAGACGGCCTTCACGCCGCGAGCGAGATGGTGGCCGCAGACGCAGCCCCAGCGCGAGAAGTCGTGAGCGTACGCCAGAACTCAACGAAGATGAACGTGATAGGCGCACTATCTTCGTGCAGCAGCTTGCCGCTCGACTGAGGACGAAAGAACTCATCGCCTTTTTTGAGAAGGTTGGTCCTGTCAAGGAGGCCCAGATTGTAAAGGATCGTGTTAGTGGGCGGTCCAAAGGGTAAGTCATGCCTCAGATTTTGTGCTCAGATTTTGTGCGGACTAGACAAGATGCTAACCTCCACGCCTAATAGTGTCGGTTATGTCGAGTTCAAGAACGAAGACTCCGTTGCGCCTGCTATTCAGCTTACAGGACAGAAACTTTTAGGAATTCCGATCATCGCACAGTTGACTGAAGCGGAAAAGAACCGTCAGGCTCGCAATCCCGAAGCCAGCAGTAGCAACAACCACGCCGCCCCCTTTCACAGGTTGTACGTGGGTAATATCCATTTCAGTATCACTGAAAGTGACCTCCAGAACGTCTTTGAACCGTTTGGTGAACTCGAGTTCGTTCAGTTGCAGAAGGACGAGACTGGTAGGAGCCGAGGCTATGGTTTCGTGCAGTAAGTGGCCCCAAACGATCTGAACAACCGGCTTGCTAACCCTTCTACTCAGGTTCCGTGACCCTAATCAGGCTCGCGAAGCCCTCGAGAAGATGAATGGCTTTGATCTTGCTGGTCGAGCCATCCGCGTTGGCCTTGGCAACGATAAGTTCACCCCTGATTCGAACGCACAACGCATGCAAGGCCAAGGTGCAAACCAACATAACTTCCAGGGCTCGCTGTTTTCGGGTCACGGTGGACGTGGTGTTCAAGCTGGCGGCACAAACAACTTCGACCGTGCTGGAGGCCGGGACTCAGAAAAGGGTGCCGGTGCAAGTGCTCTGGATGACACAGATGTTGCCGGTGTGAACTTCAACAACTACAGTAGGGATGCATTGATGAGGAAGCTTGCAAGAACAGATGAACCCTCTGAGCCAGCTGCCGATGACCAGCAGAAAGTGCTCCGGCCTAAGACTGAAGCCAAGCCGCTACCTGTTAATGTTAGCATGGCCAGTCGATGTGTCATGTTGCGCAACATGTTTGACCCCAATGAGTAAGTGCTAAAAGCCTAGCTTGTCAACTAGCCTGCTAATTCTATCTATAGGGAGGAGGGCGACGTCTGGGTGAAAGAGCTGGAGGATGACGTCCGCGCTGAGTGCGAAGAAAAATATGGTCATGTCGTTCACATTTCACTAGATCCCAACTCTCAAGGCGACATTTACCTGAAATTCGATCGAGTGCAGGGCGGGGAGAATGCTATCAAGGGTCTTAACGGACGTTTCTTCGGTGGCCGACAGATTACCGCGCAACCCGTCGTCGATGCTGTCTACAGCAGTTTGTTCTCCCGGACGAAGGCCATCTAACAAAACCCCCCTCGAGGCCACACATCTTCCATGCATATCTACCATCATTCAGATATGCGGGTAGGTACTTTGATCTATTAATTACACCAGGTGCAACTTGTGACGGCAGGTCCACACTTTCAACCTCACTTTCATCCTTGAAATGAAACCGTTGAGCTTCGCTTCGGAATGGTGCTTGGCTTGGAATGACACTGCCCCTGGTAGGTGCCAGTCTCTGAAAATCTTGCTTTTCACAGTTTATACTCCAAGCTAGAGGCTTGTTGCGGAAATGATTTTGTCTCTAGGGATTTGTATATTGCGTTAGCGCCCAACAAAATATGTAACTCTTATTCTTTGTCCAAGCCCACTTTGTAGGTCCTGTCAGTGCAATGTCTAGAGCGCTGTAAGCGACGAGATAAAGCGCAAGAGTCTATGCTCTAGAGGCACAGAATTTGCCGTGTACTCATGTTTACTACGTCTCCGGGATCAACAGACGGCAAGCCGTCTTCGGCTGGGTGCGGTGGACTAGCCAGACCGGCAACAGATTCAAAGCCTCCATAACCTTGGTGAAGTGGCACTAGCGAGTGAACCGCGTGTGGGCATCGCGGATATTTCTTGAAATGCTGCATCCGCAGTGAGATGCAGACCCCATGCCGATGGCAACAGTGCAAGATCACGACCGCAGTGAAAGCTGCAAGGTCGGCCGTCATTTTCAGCTCGTCGTCTTGCTGGTGCATCCTCTCGAGCCACTTTATCAGCCGTTAGATCCGAGCTTCGAGAATCAGGTGCGAGTCTATCATGGGTTGCTTCAGTAAAGAGCCTACGCCGATACCAGTGCTAGTGACGTTCCACGGTGAAGAGCATAGAATCTGGGGCCCCAGAAGGACCGAGCCTGACCGGGGTCTTTCTCCCGAATACGCCGGAAGGCATAGATACTGGATGCTCGAGCGTCGCATCACTCTTAGGATTATCAGGCAAGGGCGTTTCCCGCCTATAGATGCGACACAGTCGGCGGTGAAGGCTTGCGGAAATTTCATTCAAACAGTGTCTGTTTAATAATATACGGGTAAGTCCATCATGGCATAACAGGTGACATGACTAGAAGCCCACCCTCCCTTGCAATCGCTATCATAGCCTGCTCAACTGGCGGCCTTTCACATCGACCGTGATATTCCTGCACCCTTGACGATGGATACCAAGGAACAAGCCAGGCGTATATGTACAGTACAGGGCTTGCTGAAGGGTTCGACCGCACACGTCAAGAACAGCGAAGTATGTCTCCTCATCGGACAGTCGATCGTGTAGATTCGTGAAGGCGATGTTTACGATTTGATGAGCATCCATCCGGACATTTCACAAGCAGACTCTGAAAAACAGATTGGGCAAGCCTGGCTCTTACGAGGTACAAAACAAGGACGTACATCTTGTGAGTAGATACAATCTTGCTCCCTGGAACTTGCAGGCTCGGCAGATTCAAGTTTCCTGGCTGTATATGCATATGTGCTTCACGGTAGGCATCAGTTTGATGTTTGACTGGGGCCGGCACTGCTGGCAGTGGAGATGGCCCTGGCAGCTGAGATGGCGTTAGGGAGATTCAATCGACCTCCGGATCTTCCAAAGGTACTTGCAACCTTATATGAGTGTACTGGTCATATATATGCCACGGATCATCTCGGGAAGCTATACACTAGGATCAAGATTGTCTAGGATATCAAATCGAAAACTCATACTTTTCCACATGGTGAGAAATTCCAGATCGACAAAGCTCATATCACTTTGATCGTTTATAATGTCTGATATAACACTATACTTCATGTGTATCCCAAAATGGTATACACATGATATAATAGAAAGAATGCAATTCTATAGAGATACAATATTGTTCTAATCATTCTATAGTTCAGTTATTTAGTTATGCCGTGCTGCTTAATAAGCTAAAAGTAGCATAAAATTCGTCTGAAGTACAGTCCTAATTAAAGAACATGATTCGAAATCCAGGAGATCCTGTTCAATGGTGAGCAAGTAGATAATGATCATAGAGCTGCACCTGTTGAGCACTATTTGCAGCTCCTTGGGACTTGAATTGAGTGAGAATCAACATAGAAATGCATACTCAGTATTGCAATCCAGACGCGTTGCCGCTGCTGATTCCCGATAACTTCGAAGTTTCAATTCCCGAAACCCCCCCAGATGTTAATCCGCCCGCCTACTCGCTCCCCCATCATCCTTCCCCCGCGAATTCCGATTGCCCACCCATCTCTTCTTGACTTCAATCTCTTCTCCTCATTCTCCAGTGTCATTCTCCAAGCATCTGTTCTTTGCTCTGGGCTGCCAATGCTCTGTCATTCATGATTGTGAATTCGGCCAAGCGAGTCTCTGTCCGAGCCCGGACTTTGGCCGACATTTGTCGTAGGTTGCGCTGTTCTCTCTTTCCGACCTCCCCGTCTTTTCCTTATCTCCGAATGGCAATTCGCATCTTTCACAAAGCCGATGCCTCAGTGCCACTAATAACCATGTTTTCGCAAACTAACCTGCTCGTATACGTTCAGCTCTCCCTGGACTCTCTCGCCGTCGGTATTCGAGTCCATGTGTCTCTGTGACCGGGTCTAAGCGACCCGAATTTCACGACTACTTCGTCACTCGCCTGCCATCGTCATCCCTACACCCCGACCCTCGAGGCCCCCTCACCCCTTTCCATAAATTGCCTCGCGCCGCGTCGGTGCCTCATACGGGCGATTCGACCCATTCCCCTACCACTATTCAGCCTTTAGTCGATCGGGACACCACTGTCGTTCGCATTCCGCTTCGCAATGCGAAGCACCACTTTGGCGCCCACACATCACGGGGCACGCGGCCGTCCAACGAGGACACATATCAGGCCGGAGTCATTGACATTCCTGCGTTCGCGAAGCGGCCACCAGCATCCTTGACAATCAAGAAACTGGCCGCAGGTAATCCGGATTCTGCGCCCCGTGAAAACCGTGGTGCCGACAATGCGAATGGAGACCCCCAAGTATTTTACTTTGGCATCTTCGACGGTCATGGCGGAACAGAATGCAGCAACTTTCTGAAAGACACTCTGCACGAGGCTATTCAAGATACTGCAGCCGCATTTGAGCTCCAATCCAGTCTGCGGCGTGGGCCTCAGGGGCAGATACCCAGAGGCGCGGACCCGTCCTCTGGCGAATTGCCGATCTTCCAAAGAGGTAATTGCGAACGCGCCGCCAAGCTTGAGAAGATCTTATTGCAGAACTGGAGGACTCTCGTTGGGGGCTATTTCAAACGGTTTTCTCCCGCTCACTTTGCGCACACGCGCAGGGAGAGCTCTTCTGGTGTTACCATCGAGGAGATCTTGGAATACGCCTTCCTGCGAACTGATCTAGAATTCGTCTCGGCGCAAGCCGCCAAGCAGGATGACGATCCCGCGCGTGTCAGCCAACCCCTGTATCAAGATGATATCTTGTACGGACCTGAAAACGGTCCGGCGCTGAACGTCGGTGGTACCAATCGCTTCAAGGGCGGAAGCACAGCGAGTGTGGCCCTCATCTCCACCCCCACGCCAGCTCCTTTCTGGCATCCAGGAGCTCCGTCTAGTCTCCTTGTATCACACGTTGGAGATACTCGCATCCTATTGTGCTCGACTGAAAGTGGCCAGGCGATTCCCCTAACGTCCAACCACCATCCCTCCTCGCCGATTGAGGCCAGCCGGCTCCGTCGTTATGCCACTACCTTTGTCACGGATTCTTTCGGAGAGGAGCGCATGAGTGGGCTGGCAAACACGCGGGCATTTGGCGATATGCAATCCAAACGCATCGGCGTCTCGGCCGAGCCTGAAATTCGTCGGGTGGAAATGGGCCCAGCTGAATATTCCTTCTTGGTGCTGATGTCGGACGGCATCAGCGGCACGCTACCAGATCAGGAAGTAGTAGATATCATCAAGGAAGCCAAGACGCCGGACCAGGGGGCTCGTGATGTTGTCAGCTTCGCAACTGAAGTGACGCGCGACGGGGATAACGCCACCTGCCTGGTTGTTCGCTTAGGCGGCTGGGAACGTCGGTTGGAAGGTGGATTAGGCAGCATGGGCACGAAGGAGGCGCGCGATTGGCGGCGACAAGAAGCAACCGATCCTCGGCGGTCTCGACGATGATGATGATGATGACAATGCTAGATATTGATAGAGCGAAGGAAGAGGCGGGTCTTTCTGTATATAGTTTCACATTCTGATCCGTGCACCTCTCGTGTCGAGTCGAAACCGACTGATCCGAAGGGCGGAGTTTTTGTTATTGCTGCATCTTGTACATACACACGCAGAACATGATCATACTATTTGTTTCTCTATTTCTCTCTCGAGCTTCGTCTATGCGACCTGTGTACCATGCAGACCGCAATGGAAGAACGTCACCCTAGAATAGAACACTAAAGCCGCGCCCGGAGCGGAAAGGAATGCTTGTAGCCGCAAGCAGCATCGGAAGCTTGCGAAGTACAAAATGCCTATCTCTTCAATGATTGAGTTGTGATGTCTACTTTATATGGTTTCTATGAGAATGAGCTCAATGCCGCTTCCAAAATTGCCTACTGTTCCTCCAGGTGTTTGAGGTCGAAGCCTACTAGGTAGCTGTTAAGTTGACGGTCGCAACCGCTTATCACCGCAGCTTATCGACAGCGCCCACTCGGACAGCCAAGCAATAATCAGAGCGGCGGCGACCCGACTCACCTCATCGACCCTCTCCTGAACGAACAACTTTCCCCTCTTCCCTCCACCCTTCTTCCCCTTTACGCTGCCTTCTTTGTGCGCCTTTTCTTTCTTGGGTGCTGCATCTGTTTCCTAATCCTAAGTCATATTCATCACACTTTGGAGCAGTAGCTTTGCTCGCCAAACGCAACAATAAAAGCGCGTGAGGACAATAAATCGGTACGTGTGCTTCAGAGCTTTAATTCAGGAGATCAATATATGCACGAGCTTCCGGATCCATCCTTCCCCAACCTATCATTTCGGAATTTATTGTTCTCCATTTGAGATGATTGTCTGGTACCCTGCTAACATTTTTTCTTTTTGCTGAAGCACCAAGTCGTTGTCCCAGTATCTCGTTCATATTCATCATCCCCTCCTATCGATCGCTGTGTGTACCTCGTGGAAACTCCCGGAACAAGCCCCTCTCGGTCTTACACCTTCGTCCATCGATAAAATCTTTTTTTTAGCTTCCTCCACATAACCAACCTCAGAGTAAAAATGAGCCCGCGCACTAGAAGCCAGAAGGCCTCCGCTGAGCTGGAAGCCACGGATCCGTCACCCGCCGTCAATGGAACGCTCCAGCCGTCATCGAAAAATGGCCCGGAAGCTGCTGCGGATGGAGAAGTGCAAGAGAACGTTTTCCTATTCGCGCCGAATTTGATTGGTGAGAGATACATGTCCTCCGTGGGAATCCCGGTTCTTGGGTCTAATACATAGCGCGGAAACTAGGTTATGCGCGTGTGGTGTTGACAATGGCTTCGCTTTACTACATGCCCCTGCATCCGCGGACATGTTCCCTCCTTTACAGCGTTTCCTGCCTGTTGGATGCCCTAGACGGATATGCGGCACGATACTTCAACCAGTCGACTACCTTCGGTGCCGTGTTGGACATGGTGACGGATCGGTGCACAACGGCGTGTCTGCTGGTGTTCCTCAGCTCGGCCTGGCCCCGGTGGTCGATCGTCTTCCAGAGTTTGATTGCGTTGGATATGGCTAGTCACTACATGCACATGTACGCGACGCTCAGCATGGGAGGTTCCAGCCAGAGCCACAAGAAGGTCGACTCCAGCCGCAGCTGGGTCCTGTACCAGTACTACCACAGTCGGGTTAGTTTCCTCCGGGGTTTTTACGTCTGGGTCAGTATATTAATATGGTGCACAGACGGTCCTGTTCATTTGCTGCGCTCTCAATGAGCTGTTCTTCATCGGTCTCTACTTGCTCTCCTTCTCCTCGCCCACTCTCTCTCCTTCCCTGCTTCAACCCAAGGTCGGGGGCCCGGCTGGCGACACGACCATTCCCCCTCCAGAGGGGTACTCCAGCCCTTGGAGTGCAGGCGCCCTTGAGTTGGCTCGTGCGAACAAGATTGACAGCTTCTGGCCCTGGGTTATTACCGGAATCTCCTTCCCAGTCATGGCGCTCAAGCAGTTCATCAACGTTGTGCAGATGGTCAAAGCCAGCAAGTGGCTGGCTGAAGGTGATATGGCTAGCCGGAAGGCTCTGCGGGCGGCCAAGAACAATTAAGGGCCGGCCATGTCCGGCGCCAGGTGGTGATTCCGGATCTTTCTTTCTTTCGAGTCAACCGTCGAGTCAGCCGTTTGAATACCTTCGAGCTCGCTTCTTCTCCGGATGCCTCCGGTCGGCCGGACGGCGGTCTTTGCTGGGCCGGTCGTTTTATCTTTAATCTTCTTCCGTGCATGGTTCTGGTGCTCTGGTCGGTTCTGTCAACTGGGGCCAATAGCCCGGGTGTCTTTCTGGTAACTTCCATAAATTTTTTGGGAGGAAATTGTGGCATATGAGTCTGTGGAGGGACTATCTGTCTCTGGACAAAAGGGTGAATGATTCTCGGCGCATTGTTTACCTATTATCTATACTGTTTCTTTCCTATATTATGTTCTCCGCTGTGTTTCGCAATCATACAGCTCCTTCCAACCCGTGTCTACTTTCGCTACTAATATTATCCCCTTTATTCTTGCCTCGTGGCTTTTCTCATTCCAAGTTCGGTCTGTTTATACCCCGGAGTAAAATTTACGGGCAGCCGCTCTCAAGCTTCTAGCCGGTCTCGGCTAGTGCCGGCAATAACTCCGGTGTCGGCGCGGGGGAGGCTTGCATTTCCCCCCCGCCAGATCGTATATTTATCCGCTCTTTTCTCATTCTCGCTATCTTTTTAATTCTAACATTCTGACTCAATACCCCTCTCACTCCCTCCATCTCCCATTCGTCATGTCTACTTTCAACATCGTCGTTTTTGCCGGTGACCACTGCGGTCCCGAGGTAAGAGATACCCGTCCTGGAACCCCGCGCTAGGGAGCTCATAGACTGACGTATACGTACTTGACAGGTCACCGCTGAGGCCATCAAGGTGAGTCAACCACCCATAACGCTGCAATACAGCTTTGTGACCTCCCAATGGACTGTGGAAGCTAAGTACCCTTGCAATGCATGCTGACTTTCACTTCTGATCAGGTCCTTCGCGTCATTGAGAAGAAGCGTGACGATATCACCCTCAACCTTCAGGATCATCTGCTGGGCGGTGTATGTGCGAACCTTTTGAAGGTGTTGATATAGCTTCTGACCTCGACCTTAGGCTTCCATTGACGCCACTGGCTCTCCCCTGACTGACGAGGCCCTGACTGCGGCCAAGAATGCCGATGCCGTGCTCCTGGGAGCCATCGGTGGCCCCGTACGTAACCCAGTCCGCGAGTCGCCATCCATGCTGCCCCTCAGCTAATATACTATATTCTACAGAAATGGGGTACTGGCGCCGTCCGTCCCGAGCAGGGTCTCCTGAAGCTCCGCAAGGAGATGGGCACCTTCGGTAACCTGCGTCCCTGCAACTTCGCCGCTCCCTCGCTGGTCGACCACTCCCCGCTCAAGGCGGAGGTGTGCCGCGGCGTCGACTTCAACATCATCCGCGAGCTGACGGGCGGTATCTACTTCGGCGACCGGAAGGAGGACGACGGCAGCGGATACGCCATGGACACGGAGCCCTACTCGCGCGCCGAGATCGAGCGCATCACCCGCCTAGCCGCCCACCTGGCCCTCCAGCACAACCCCCCTCTCCCCGTGTGGAGCTTGGACAAGGCCAACGTGCTGGCCACCAGCCGCCTGTGGCGCAAGACCGTCACCGAGGTCATGGCCAAGGAGTTCCCCCAGCTCAAGATCGAGCACCAGTTGATCGACTCCGCTGCCATGATCATGATCAAGAACCCCCGCCAGCTGAACGGTATCGTCGTCACCAGCAACCTCTTCGGTGACATCATCAGCGATGAGGCTAGTGTCATCCCCGGCTCCCTGGGTCTGTTGCCCAGTGCCAGTCTGAGCGGTATCCCCGACGGCAAGAGCCGTGTCAACGGTATCTACGAGCCCATCCACGGTATGTTATCACCTCCTTCGTTCGTGTATGTATCCAGCGTTGTACTCGATGCTAACACGGTGCCCCCAAAGGCTCTGCCCCCGACATCGCCGGAAAGGGCATTGTCAACCCCGTCGCCGCCATCCTCTCGGTTGCTATGATGATGCAATACTCCTTCGGCCGGTTTGACGAGGCCCGCGCCATCGAGGCCGCCGTTCGCAACGTTATCGAGTCCGGTCTCCGCACCGGCGACATCGGCGGCAAGGCTACCACCAGCGAAGTCGGCGATGCCATCGCTGCTGAGCTGGAGAAGTTGTTGTAAAAGGCGTAAAAGTTCTTTCTTTTGTTCTCCGCTGAGTTGTGTGTTTTGGGGGCAGCGATACCGAATGAGATATGACCATATTAATACCAAACTCTTATATTCTTCCCCGCATATGAAAAATTATCGCACAGTATAAAAAAACTTTCGAATAGACAGAATGAGGGTATCTACCGGCTAACTCCGATACAAATGCGATGCAATCGAACACCCGTCTACCAGCTACCTAATGACCGGCTCGCCCATCCAATCCGGCTCCTCCAGACTGGCCACCACTCCTGTCACAGCGCGCTCAGCTTCGGCAACTGCATGTTCCCGTCCTCCACCACCGGCTCCCTCGGCCATCTCATCATGCGTGCTCCCCCGCAATGAGCGACGCGCACTGTGTCGTCGCACTCTACCATCCGCCGACGCCGACGGGGCATTGGCCAACCTCTTGCGCTCGTCATCGCGTGCAAAGACCTGGAAGCCACGGACATGGGTATCCTTGCCATTCTGATGATTCTCAGTCACCTTCATCTGAATGACCATGGCCTTGAGCACGTTCCCTGCGTACGGATCGTTCTCGTCGTCGTCATCTTCCTCATCATCGTCCTCCTCCTCTTCCTCGTACCTATAAGCCCTCGCATCTTCATATAGACTCTCCTCCGTGTCATCCTGATCCATCATCACATCATCCTCGTCCCCGTGGCCCACATCCCTCCCTTTCCCTTTCGCCTTCCCCTTACCTACATAACTCGTAGCCCCTCTCCTCCCACTGGCCCCCATCCCCTTCCGGTTCCCTCTCACCCCCTGAAGCTTCCTCCTCCTCGTCCTACTAGCTCCACCCTGGACCTCCCCAAACGAACGCACAGTATTCCTCCCGCCGACCCCTTCCAACTCCACATCCACCCACCCGCAGGGACCCTCACCCTCCCACGTCGCGAACTCCACGAGATCATTCCCCCCCATCCCGGCCAGAAATACCATCTTGGTCGGGGTATAACTCTCATCCATCTCAAAATCCAGGTACACGCGGATGCGCACCACGGCGACGAGCTTGAAGAAGTGCAGGGTCAGGGTATGGGGTTGCGGGCCGTCGGACTGCCAGTACTGGGTTGGAGACGGGTGTCGGAGGGCGCTGACGCCGCAGCCCGGTTTGTGGGTGGAGACGGTCCACGAGGCGAGGGAGGAGATCTCGCGGAGGTTGGCGGGGAGAGGGGTGGGGGATTTATCTAGATGTGTTGTCAGAAATTCATTCGACTTTCAAAAACAGGGAGAGGGAAGGGGGGGCAGAGGTTGTAGTTATAGTAAGAATTGGAAAGGCAGAAAGAAGAAAGCTTACCTCTCTCGCCTAAAATCTCCTCATCACCATCATCAGCATCTGGATCTGCGAGCATATCATCATCATCCTCTTCTTCTTCTTCTTCCTCTTCCTCTTCAAGCACTTCTTCCTCCTCTTCAGCCTCTAATTCCCCTCCGTCATGCGCGGCATGAAGACCTAATCTCTCGTCGTCTTCGTCCACTTCTCCCTCCGAATCATGGCCGGTCTCGCCTACACCATGATGATGGCGATGACGGAGATGACGGTGAGACGAGGGATACCGATGCTGCTGCATTGAATCATCAATATCTTCGTCCTCTTCCTCGTCTTCTTCCTCCTCCTCGTCCTGTTCCATCCGATCATGCGGCGGGTGTCGATGGCGTGGATCCCCGTGGCCCCGGCCATGAACCCCGCGTCCAAATAAAGAGAACAATGCGACTTGTGCGGCGGCGGCGGCAGGGTGTTGTTGGCGCTGCTGCTGCGCTTGTTGGGCTTGCTGGTGACTATGCAGTGGGTGGGTCGGGTCGTCTATGGGTCCCGAGGATGGGTGAAGCCGAGGGATGGGAAAGCCGCGCGAGGGGGGAGTCTGGAACTGGGAGGTGGGAGTTTCATGGTGGCTCTGACCGAGGCGGGCGCGGCTGATACGTTGGGGTGCTGGAGGTGGTTGCTGTTGCTGTTGCTGTTGATATTGAAGGTCCGATGGCGAGGACGTGTCGGGGTGGTTGTGGTTACGGCGGAGGATATGGTGGTGGCGCGGCATGGTGAGAGTGCTCTTGAACAGAAATGTCTGACCTGTATGATATAAGGTATCGATTATCGCATAGCCATGACTCCCAAGCTGACCGACTCGTTGGTTACTTGCTATTGTTTTGATTGATGGTCTCGAGGGGAGAAAAGGTGAAGCTGCGATGGGACCGCGTCTGTTATCAATCACGTGTTGGCTTATCGGTTATCGCAATGCGCGATAAGTCCAGCCCAGCAATTGTCGTCCTGGATCAACACGTTGGTCAATTCGAGAAATGAGCTTGTAACACAAATGAAGCCTTGGCAAATGATGAGGGTGGTCGGCAAGCCAATTCAATGCTTACAGGGTTCATGGAAAAACCTGTGTCAGTGGAACCTTTTACTGTACTGGAATCTCCTTGTGATCTGAAGTCCTCGGCTTGGGAATAAAATATATTCTTTGAGCTCGCGGGGGTGGTGGCCCGACGAAGTATTCTCGCTATTCAACAAATGTAGTACTATCATACAGAAACAATTAAAAGCGACTTAGTCTAGTTTTGAATGTCCACATATCCGATCTTCTCGCCCATCTTGATCCGCTGTCCCTTTTCGATGGTCCAGTTCCAGCCTCCCTCGCGTTTGCCCTCTTCCCAACCGGCATCGAACGACTTGCGGGTGCCCATAGGTGCCTCGAACACCAGCACGATCGAACTTCCCAGCTGGAAGCCTCCCATCTCCTCACCACGCTGAAGAGGATGTCCTCCCAGGGTGCGACTGGCGTGGCGGTATGTCGCTTCAACAAATCCTGGGTATTGCTCGCCGCGCGCTGCGGCTTCGGCGGCAGCTTTGTCGGCAGCGGTATCCGTAGTCAAACTATTGGTACGCAGCTCTGCATCGAAGTTGACCTTGATCGAGCCCACATTGGTCGCTCCCACAGGCGTATAACTGAAGAATCCCCAACGCCAACGACCCAACAGGGCGACACGCTCGTTGAGGGTAAAGAGACCTGGAAGGTGGCGTTGAAGATAGGGTGAAACTGAGAACAGTTCGCCAGCGAAATGACGGCGGCTCTCTACCACCCACGGCACAGGGGAGTGGAAGCGATGGTAGTCACCAGGAGCCAAGTAAATGACAACATAGTAGAGCGCGTGGTTGGCGGCTGCCTTCGGGGCGTACCACGGAGTTCCATCGCCACGGGCCAAGTCAGCCTTCACCTCTTCTTCAGCATCAACCTTGGAAGTAGTAGACGCATCCATCGAGGCCGAGCGTTTCCGTGCGCCTCCCGGTTCGCCGGCGAGTAGAGTTGGTAGCGTATAGGAGATACCGTTCATTTCGGCAAATTCCTCATCAGCCAGCATCTTAGCCTCATTCTTTTGGGTCGGCTCGGTCTGATGGTCGGTGAAAGTCTTGGTGTGGTCCGCATGGGTTGGAGTGGCAGATCCCAGAAGGGCATCCAAACTGTAAGTAACGCCCTTGACCTGCTCGACCTCGCCCCGCTCAATGAGTCCGAATTGCAGGATTCTTCCATCGGAAGGCGAGATGATAGCACGGGTATCTGGATCCAAAGGTCGAACACCGGGTTTCAGCTGACGGTAGAAAAACGCGGCCAAGTTGGGATACGTGTGAAGGTCGGGTTCGGCGACCTCGTCAAGGTTGACGCCAAAGATCCAGGAGTACAACTTGAAGCCAGGAATACGTAAATAGTAGGGCAGTTCGATTTCATTGAAGCGACCCCAGAGTCGGGACATAGCTTTAAGGGGCAAGGTGGACATAATCTGGACCTGCCATGGTCCGCTGAGTCGATGTTTGGGACGAGCAGGGGCATTTTGGAAGTCGAAAGGCTCTCCGGCTGCTTCTCGCTCAGCTCGTTCTCTTTCAGCCCGCTGGGCCTTATAGAACTGCAGCAGGCCGAGAAGGCCGATGCCTAGACCGACGGGGATGGGGTACCATTCGACTTTGGTGTTGCGGAGCGCGAAACGGAGTCGGGAGCCGAATGTGCTGCGACGAGACGAGTTTTGTTTTTGGTCTTGATTCTGGGATTGTTTCCAGGTTTTGGAAAAGTGGCGAGCACCGGCCGGACGACGACCAGTGGCCCTCAACGATACTTCCATCAATCCAGCCCTCTCCACATGAGGGAGAATCAACACCTTCCGGCGAAACAGCGCAGAATAACTGGACAGGCACAGGGCCATAATGCGTCTCTACTGGGTGGAAGTCATCCCAGAGGGGGGCAATAACCGAGGCGGGTGAGGCACGTGAAAATTACGATTAACCGGCACAAGTAAGGTGTGAAATTGTGAAAATGGGGCTTTTATGGCGAAGGGCAGAAGCAGCAATCCTCATTTCCTGAGCGTGATCGGCAAGAGGCATCTTCACCGCCCGGCAGAATGTGCCATCTCCGCCATTTGTTTGGCATGTCTATACTTACGGTACTCATCTTGTCATCATCTTTATCAGCAATCTGTGGTTTTTGTTGTTGCTGTTTGGCTCTGTACAGTTGAAGAGATCTGCACTCCCATAGGTGATACGCGAGACTGTGCGTCATCTGAATCGCCTTGTGGGTGCCAGCTAGACCTGGTGTCACTGAAAAGGACACCGTTGGCACCGGGACCTGGCCTGTACTGTACTTCCGCGGCGGAAGACAGATTGCCTGAACCAACTTATCCGACAGCGTGCTCGATGTGAAACTGTTCTACAACTTGTGACTATGTGCTTGTAAACCCAATCATTCTCTGAACAGCGCCAAAATCCCAGCATAAGATGGCCTCGACTACAGACATTCCAAGCGCATCGTCGGACTCGCCTGAGAGCTTCACCTTGCATGTCTTGTGTCCATCATTACCTCCTCCTAATCGGTACACCATTCAAGATGTGTCCCCATCTACGACTGTCGCGGATCTGAAGGCTCGACTCGCAGGAGCAATTCCGAGCCAGCCGTCTCCGGACAGCCAACGTTTGATTTATCGTGGGAAGCCACTGCTGAATGATGCGGCAGCGTTGAGAGATGTACTGGAGCCGCCTAATGTAAGAGAACTTGATTCTTTGGTTGTGCCTGCAATCACACTGTTATAACCTAGCTGACTGGCAATTTGTGAAGGCCACCGAGTATTCCATCCATCTTGTTCTTCCTCCATCTCCTGAATCTTCGGCACCACGCAACCTCAGCTCTTCTGGTCCGCAACAACCACAATTCATTCCGGGTTCTGCTATTCACCTTCCATCGATGACCCTTCGACCTGAACCACCCACACCCAGAGCTGAGCCAGACCGCACAGGCGCGTCTGAAGCCGAGGTCGGACTGGCCTTGCGACCTAATATTGAGACAATTCGCCGACAGATCGAGATGCGGGACCGAGGCAACTTGTCGGGAGGCACAACCGCCTTCTCGTCCAGCTTGAGCCCAGCACTTTCGGCTGCCCAGCAGCAGCGACCAACGTGGCCAGATCGATCGTCCTCGGTGTCTACAACACGCCAAGAACTGCCACAGACATTCTCACCTGAGACAGTGGCAGCCACTGGTCTTTCAAACACAGCGTCTCTTTCTAGCGCTCTAGTAACGGAAGAGTGCCTGCAGATATTGAGTCGTCAAGTGGAATTAGCAGAAAGCCAGCTGAACCGCGGCATTGCGCCTCCGATGAATCACATAATTAGAATCCGAACACATTTACTCTCCATCCTGGATGAACAGTGTATGAACCCTCTTGCTGAACGCGATGGCTCAATGGAAGGGCTACTGTCCCGCGTCTTCAATATATACACGCGCGCCCACCAACTCCGCCTGTCTGAAGCCGGGTTTCCACGATTGCAGAACACCTCAGCCAGTGCTGCGATCGCTATGTCCGCACCTGGACCAGCTTCCTTGTATCTACTATCATCCCCATACGGATACCAGGGGCTCCTTTCCTCGCCCCAAGGGGCAGAGGCTATGCAGGCAACCATCGAGAGACTTCGCGCAACTCACCCCCCAAATCGCACACCAAACCAAGATACTGCTCCGGTGCCTGAGATTCCCCCCAACGCGAACGCAGCCGTCTTGGAGAATGTCGTTCGCCGGGCTGTGCTCAACCAGCGGGGACTCGACAATAACCCCAACCAGAACGGACAACTGGGCTTTGCGCGGATCATGCTACGGCTCTGGCAGTTCGCCCGGCTATATTTCTTCTGCTACATGTTCACCGAACCCGGGACTTGGCTGCGCGTGTTCTTTGTGACGCTGGCCGTGCTCTTCGTGCTATCCTCGGAAACCGGGGTGGATCAGCGACTGTACCAGTTGTTTGTGGCTCCGGTGCAGCAACACCTTGAAGGTCTAGTTCATCTGACGCCTAATGAGCCGGCTCAGGCCCAAGGCCACGGTGGCCAAGGTGCTGTTGGTGGTGGTAGTGGTGGTGGCCCAACGAACGGCAATCCCCGCACAGGGGTTGTAGGTGAAATGCGTCATCAGCTGCGGAGGGTGGAGCGATCTGTGGCGTTGTTCATTGCGAGCCTGGTGCCCGGAGTAGGCGAGCGCCAGGTTGCGGTGCGCAATGCTGCGGAAGCTGCGCAGCGCGTACGGGAGGAGGAAGAACGCCGTCAACGTGAGGAAGCACAGCAGCAACAGCAGCAGGAGCAGCAGGAAGAGCAGGAGAACCACGTGGATGCAGCGCAGAGTGAAGGTCACACTATGATACCCCAGGCAGCCGAGAACTGATGTAGCAAGTCATCAGCCATATTGCCACTGACTTCACCTTTTGTTTTTGTCTCTCACTGTACTTTATCCGCATTTGGCTTACATGCGACATATCTCCTTTGAACCCCCGCCCGCGTTTAAGCCTTTAGCCTCAGTATTGAATTTACTCATTGATATGTAATTGTAGTCTACCCTTGCTGCTTCAGTCGGACATAATCTAGGACATAATCTATAATTCCCTTAGCGAGAGAAGTAGTGTCGACGATGACTGGGGATTATCCGATATATATGCCTTCCTTACCAGTAACATAGCTCTTACCATCAGTATTTATACTCCCACCCCCCAAACCAAAGACCACGCGTCAGTGTCACAATTTCATCCCCCGCTCACCTACGCCATCGGTAGTCATAGTATCCAAACTCGACGTCGGCCCCGCCTCCTCTGGCGCCATAGGGCCCGTATCAAACCCTTCTTCTCCATCAAAGTGCCTACAAGGAGTAACACCCGTTAGCGCAAGCTCCAGGTCCACCAACCACAAAACCGAATCACAAGAGAAGAAAAGGAAAAGGAAAAGGATATACGAACCACCCTCGTTCAGCCCCCTGACTCAAGAACTCACAGTCACCATTCCGCACACAATCCCACCCACCAGCGACACCTTTGCCCCCACGCCAATCCAGGACTGTTGTACCAGCCCGAAGGACTTTCGTCCCCCGTGCAAGTGATGGCATCTCAGCCTGCTGCCCGGGAGAAGCATCACCCCGCTCCCCGCTCTCGCGACGGCGGCGGCGAAAGGTACTCAGCCCCGCCGTGAACACCGCGAAGTCCTCGGTATTCGGATCCGCCGGCATGTGGCCCGTCAGCGCGCGGCCCATGGCGATCAAGGGCGCCGCATGCGAGCAGATGAGGATCGCTTTGCTGGTCCGGGGTTCGTGGGCGGGCTGCGCGGCCTCCAGCGCGGCGATCTCGGCGTCGACGTCGGCGAGGATGCCGGCGAGGGCGGTGGCGACGCGGTCGTGGAGTTGGGCGATGGTTTCGCCGGTGGGCGAGGGGATCACATGGGGTGTGGTTGGTGGGTTCGAGGTGGAGGGGTTTCCTCCTCGGTCCCGGACACTAGGGGGAGGAGATGTAGCAGGAGGGAGAGGGAGGAGGGTCGGGAAGTGGGTGGCTAGGATGGAATGCGGGGCGGGCTGCGGGTGTTCGAAGAAGGTGGTGTGGCCGAACCATTCTCTTTGATCATGATTTTATGCTTGCATTAGTGGAAAGGTTCGCGTAGATTCGGAAAGGAATTCGCGTCTCACCCTAGACCATTCTCAATGCGCACGTCAAAGTCTGCGTGGGGTTCAATGGTGCTGTCAGTCGTGGCTGTCGTAGAGGTACAAGCTTTCGAGTATCTGCTCTGGTGGAGCTCTTTGAGTGCCTCCACGGATGGCTGGATTGTCTGGAGACATCGGTAGAACGGGCTGCAGTAGACGCGAAAAGGTTTCGGATGGACGCTATCGCTGGTCAGATGCGCAGCGAGCTCATGGGACTGGCGCACTCCGTGCGAGGTGAGGGTGGGATCAGCTGGATTGCCTGTGGGGGTGGGAAATTGAGCATGGTAGGTGCCCGTTTTGTAGTCTATCGTCCAATTGAGGCGGTGCTGAGTATAGGAGAGCCACGGTTAGTAAGTGAAGGGTTGCTCAAGGGACAGACTGGTAATACACACGCCATGACGGGTGAGGTAGATTGTGTCGAGAGGCATGGTGGTATACAGCGGCCTTAATGTATGCAAGCACAAAGTACACACAGTACTTGATGGCAGACTGCGGGGCAATTCCTGGGGTGAAGCAGTAACTAGCGCGAGCGGTCAGCGGACATTGTGAAGTCGGCCTCGGTCCGAGCGTAGAGAGATTTACACTATGCCCATACTATGCCTAGGTCTACTGCTCTACGGATAGAAACATGGAAGCTTGATGAAACGACGGGAAAAATCCTTGTTGGGTGGACGAGATCACTCTAAATCAATAAACTATCTATGGCGTTTCTGCCGGGGGTATCGATTCCGAAAACTCTCCGCCAAGACAAGCAACAGAGAGCACATCCCTCGTCCACATCATAACAAGTCATATTCCAATCATTTCAGGACATGGCCATGTGAAACTTTTTAGTAGAAGAAACCGAGGAGCTTGCCAGCAACGTGCTTGCGACGAGCCTCCTCGTGGTCCATGATACCAGCAGAGGTGGTCAGAACGACGAAACCGAACTGACGGGAGGGGAGGAGCTGGGTGGTCCACTTCTCGAGGTCACGGAGCTGGACGGGGTAGCGGGGGTTGATGACACCGGTCTTGTTGAGGCGACCGTTGAGCTGGATAACGATCTTGCCGGAACGGTGGTCATCGACCTCCTCGAACTCGCCAATGTAGCCTGAAGAGGGAGAAGAATTAGTGGTTTGTGGCGCGGATTTAAAGGTTAGACCAAACACAGAAATGAAAATGAGTTTCGGAAACTTGTAAGATCCTCGCCGGCTTCAATATATCGGGCACTTAAAGGGCGAGCGTTGTGTGATTTGCGAAACAGACCGCCTAGTTATCAACCCGAAATTCTGTGGACTACTACGTGTGATGCCGGCGCTCGGATCGAACTCATTCTTGCGAAAACTCATTTCCATTCCAGTGTCCAGCAATCGGATGGGACAGAACGTACCGTGCTTCTGCATGACGGAGAGGAACTTGATGATGACCTTGGAGGAGGGGCGGATCAGAACCTGACGGCGACCGGCCTTCTCGGCGTTGTTGATGGCGTTAAGCGCATCGTTGAGGACGGAAGTCTTGACCATTTTGACGGTGGGAGAGCGAGATTCTCAAATCGAGGGAATACGAGGGGAAATGAGGTATCTGATTCGAAGATAACTCCAACCTAGAATCCTCTCGGCGCCGTTTCAGGCGCGAGGAGGATTTGCCGGAGTCCAATAGTCAGCCACCAGTAGTCCTCGAGCGCAAAGAGTGCCCCTGATGCAGTCCATGAAGGGTTCTTCAGCCCGTGCCGTATGAGGAGAAGCGTATCACGCCGGCCTTTCTGGTTGTCTTCATTGCTGTCGGTTGCTACACCTGCAAGTAAGAAAACACCAAAGAATCCGGGTGATTGCTCTCCCAGACTAGCTGAGAAGCTGCAGAACAGGGAGAGGCAACAGGTTGTACATACCTCGTGAAGTGTCGACGACGTCGGTTGGGACCAGAGGAAGGGGAGGGAAGCGGACGCGGCCGACAAAAGCGAAGAAGTTTTCATGGGGTGTGCGGGTGGGCCCTAGGGCTGTCAATCTGTGCCCTTATCACGTCCACGTGACCGTTCGATCTTCATGCCTCAGGCACTAAATAGAACAGCCGCCTAATGTGTAGTTATCGGCGGATGAATTGGTCAAGCTTTTGACTCTTACTATGGCCAACAGGCATAGAATGTTTAGATGTAAGATCCGTGGGAGACAAGATGTTCTATGGCAGGAGAGGAGTGTGTATAGAAAATCGTGATCTTTTCATCATTTAGGTCGTCCCTGCCCGTGAGAGATTAGCTGCCACGGTATGTGCTTCTGCCTGGCAGTGACCGGGCAAGTCATTCTGCAACATAGGAACACCACAAATGCACAATGCGCAGCTGTTTGCTTACGTGACCAGTGTAGAATACGGGCAACATTACAATATTGTAAATGTATACGGGAGTAAAGGGGATGGGTTTATCATTCTATACATGTCTTCTTGATCCATTGAGGGTCAGTGGAGTAAGGGCAAGGTGAAATTCGTGACAATAGGGATGGGGGTACATGACTTCTTGGGCATACATGATAATGCTAATAGAACTTCTGTCTAGTTCAAAACGGCGTGGAGGGGGAACGAAAATCGGCAGGTGAGTAATGGTAATAATAGGGGTGAAGAAGTTCGAGAACGCAAGGCCGATGAACGGCGCCAACATGCATTACGAGATGGCATGAAAAGGAAGAGTCCGAAAAGCAGTCAACTGCACAGGACGGACATCCTAAACGCTGGGGCAACATGGGCAAGGGGAGGGTGAGATTTTGGTGCGGATGGTAGGGGAGAAATTGGGTGGGGGTGAGAGGGTTGGTACAGGGTGCTCAAGGGGGGTGTGGAGTGAGGGACGGTGACGGCAGAAAGATCAGCCCTATTGGCAGTATGATAGACTGAAAAAAAGGTCACATGATGAATGAGCAATCTGGGAGGGACCCAGGGTTCCGTAGAATGCAGGTTCATCAGCCAATGGGGCCAGCGTCGCCACGGCGTTACTTCCTTCGGTGCGCCAAAAGCTGGCGGCGTCCTGTAGGGGGGGCATATTGTGGAGTAAAAGATCAATTGACGGGAGGGCGATCGATACTTGTCACTTAAGCCATAGCAGCAGCAGTCGACATGGTGATTTGGCGCTTGACTTGCTCACGGGTCCACCGGGCAGTGTCAATGGTACGAGGTCCATAATCACGGTTCTGGCGGGTTTCGCGAACAAGGGCAGTGACCCAGTCGTTGCGGAAGTAGTTGGAAAATTCGCCGTTGGGAAAGCCCTCGGCAAGATCACTGACACTGAGTTTAGCTAGAATTCACAGGACTGATTTGGACAGCGAAAACTTACCCAAGGACACCCATAGCGGCCCTCATCAAGCCCTCACTGCGGTTGATGTCTTGAGAAACGGTGTGGAGCAGTTGGAAGATGTGGTCGACGAAAGGTGTGATGTGAGAGACTGAAAAATGATGTCAGCAAAGCACATGCTGAGTGATCGTAGACAATGCTCACTCTGAGGCTTGCCCTTGTAGGCCAAAAGGATACCACCCCAAGCATCCATGATACCCTCGCGGAGGGAGATGATGTAGTCGATGGCGTCAAGAGACACATCGTCGCTGGCAGTCACGGCCGCGGCCTGGTGGAGGACAGTTGCAACAACTTGAAGATAGGTGTCAAACTGAGTGCCGATAGCCTGAGCGATATCTCCAAACGTCTCAAGGATAGCAGGCTTGAGCTGATTGCCGCAGGTCTTCGACACTGTTAGTTGGACGGTCACAGAATTGTCAAGACTGTTAACTTACCCGCAAAACGGTGAGAAGAGCGTTCATGAAACCATCACAGAAGGGCTGGATCTTCTCATTCAGGGCACGAGCGATGTCGCTGACCAATCCAATCGCCATGGAGCACAGACCAGGCTCTTCCTGGTTGCTGAGAGCATTGTACAGGGGCTGGGCAAAAGACTCCATGTACTTGGCGAATTCCTCTTCCATGGCACTAGCGATAGCACCGACAGTGGCGAATACCACGTCAGGAACACTAGACTTGGGCGGAACGGTAGACAGTACGCGAAGCATAAGCTCCATGACGCGATCGGCCTGGGGCTTGATCTCGGTTTCGAGGCGTTGAACAACGGCCTTTCTGGTTAGCGAAAGCAATAGGATGCGTGAGAATCAGGGCGAACTTACGAGAATGACGCTGATAATGCTAGTCTGCATCTCTTCCAGAGTGATGCGGTCCTCGACACTGACCACCTGCTGCTGCATGCCGATGGTGTGGTCCAAGCGCTGAAGCATAACATCGGACAGGTTTCCGACCAGGGGAAGGCTGTCGATGGCAGCGTTGTTGACGAAGGAATTGAGCACCTCGTAGCCAGCGGTACGTAGCTGGTTGTCGGCATCGTGCCTGTCGGTTGGGTTAGCAACGGATCAAGGGTGCCACAGGGTGGAAACCATACCTCTCGGTAAGTGTAAGAAGCGACTTGACACTCTCACCAAAGTGCTTGGAAAGAGGGTTGGTCTGGGTTCCATAATCGCCAGCAAAGCGGTCGGCGACGTTCATCAAGGCCCAACAGCAGGAGCTGGCGATCTTGGGAGAGCTGGCAAGACCATTGAACAGGCAAGAGATCAGAGGCTCCAGATGCACCTCAGGGTCAAGGGTCTCAGAGCAATAGTCACAGACACGGCCGAGAGCGTAAGCGACTGAGTCGCGGACCTGGATAGAGCTGTCTTGCATCATGCCGACCAGAACAGGCAGAGCCTGCTTGATCAGAGGCTCCAGAACCTTGGGGTCAGGGCCATCCATGATGGCACCGAATGCCGCGACCGCAGCATCTCTGTGACGCCAGTCCTCGTTACGGATGTTCGCCTCAATAAATGCCAATACGGGGGGGATGACATCGCCCTGAACGCACTGAGCGTAGAGTTGCAGGGCCTGGTAAGCGGCACGCGCGACGTTGTATTCATCATCACCGGCATCCTCATCCTGTCTGCACATAGCCTGCAACAGAACGGGAACGACTTCTTTGCAAGCGACACGGGCGAAGCCGAAGAATGGGCGGACCTCAGGGATCCCCTCAGCTTGGGCCTGCAACGGTCGTTAGTTATGCCCGAATTGACTTCACACTCTAGAGATCATAATGTAGAACGTACCGCAGCATTGTCGTCCTCGATAGCGATTTCCTCCTCGCAAACAGTACACCAGAACTCGATCGCGAGCTTGGAAACATCCTCCTCCTCGTTCTTCATACCCATGATACTCAGACCAAACAGGGCCTTCTCCATATAGAAGCGCATCTTATCGTAGTAGGCACCCATGATACGGTTAAGACAGCCGAATGCACCAGCCTGGACACGGAGATCGTCGGCCTGAGTCGCCTCACAGACCACCTGCATGATGTAGTTCCGCTCACCCTCGTTCTCCATGTTCGAGCGCACAAAGTCGACGGAATCACTGAGGGCCTTGATAGCAGCGAAGCGGATATCC